TAATTACAGTTGATTTTTTTTCTGTTTTGTAAAGTTTTAAATTCTGTGCATTTTATAGCCCTACGTACTTTTCGACGCTTCTTGTCGCCTCTTGTCTCTAATTAGTGAGACCTTGTAAATATGTCAATTTTGCCGAGAATAACAGTAGAATGTGATATGGATATTAGACCTAGAAAGATCGTGTGATCATAGTAAGTCACACAAAAATGTAGAAAACCCATTCATATATTACTGTATACAGGATGTCTGAAAAATGTATAAAATCAGCGAAAATCAATAAAGTGCAAATGTGAATTGGGAAATATATGCGGATAGAAGAATTCGATTTACATTATCTTGATCATGACATGAAGCCAGTGTCCAACCCTCAGGCACTTGTTTATTTCCATGGGAAGATTTAGCTCATAATATACGTTGATAGTGGATCTTCCCATGCATAAAAACAAGTGCCTGTGGTCTGACTGACTTTGACATTTCAATGTTTATGACATTTTTTCTAAACCAGAACTTTTTTATTTCTGGGACTAAAGAAAATCTTCATTTATGGCTAATTTTAAAGAAGCTATATCTTTTAATAAGTGTAAAGTCCAAGAATGTTTGACAAACCGTTTATTTATTCCAATCTTGGTATAGATCTCAAGTAACATCATGGACTTGGAGGGGGCAGGTCATTTACATTTACTAAAGGCAGGTCAATCAGACCTCACCTTTGATTCCTGTAATAGTAAGGCATTATCTGATTTGTGTCATTGTACCGTAGAACTTAAATTGAACAAACTCAGTGTTCTCCACAGGTAAGCAAGTCAACTCACACTATTGTAAAGTCGTACCATGCCACCCAACTGATACCACTAAAGGTGAACTCAAATCATCATTAACTACTAAATTTTGGTATGCACAATATAATTGATAGACCTATCAAAGACCATGTGTCAACTTACAACAGAGGCAGACTAGAGCAAACTATATTAAATGACATGTACATTGTATGTATAAAATTGAACGAAAGAAATAAAATTTAACATAATTTTATCTCTCTGACTCTCAAACTGCTCAAACTGCTCATTTTTTTAATTTGTCGAAAATCAAACTTTGATCTGAGTCTTAAAAATAATATCCCATGATCCAATAATGATTTCTTTTCAATTTCATGGACAAAACTTGTGTAAATATATTTTATCATGATTGTATGTCTAAATAAACAATATAAATATTTAATTGCAAACTTGGCCTATATCATCCTTAGAGTATTTAGATTAAAATATGTATCCGATGACCCCAACCATCAACTAAGATGGCCGCCATGGCTAAAATAGAACATAGGGGTTCACTATAGAAGTCTATGGGAAAATTTAAAAAAAACAATTTCAAATGGTCACAACTTGAAAACAATTCAAATAATGATAAGGGGTTGATTGATTAATTAATTGCTGGTTGCTTAACGTCCAGTGGCAAATATTTCATGCATGTTCAGGACGAGTAATGATAAGGTGTCTTCAGTAACCATTGTAAGACTACAATGGGATGACCTGGTTTTAATTTAACTACTCGGTCAAATTAAACCAAACTTGGTCTAAATCATTATTGGAGTATCTAATATTATCTATTATGATTTGAACCTTATTTTACATGATTTCCAAAACCACAGTAGATACAGGTGAGAGCCTCTAGTTACTTGTTCAAACTGGTGATCATCCTGTTAGAAGCTGTATGATGACATAATTGAAGCTGTTAATTTTCTCCTTGACAATATCTGTGAACGAATCGACAGTACAGGTTATCTTCAGGTTGTAGGCATTCCCATGGGGATCATTTGAGATCCTTTAATAGAAAAAGTGATACCGTCTTGTTATGAATCACACAAGGTATGGCCAAACTCTTAAAATATGAAAAAAATGTAAATTGAGAAGTCAATCTGGTTTTTTCCAGTAACACAATGTTTTACTTGAAAATTAGTTCGATTATGCTTTATTTTGTAAGTAATGGAGTATCTTTGAAACATATTTTGTATACAGGTTAGTTCAAGTGATTTTGTCTCCAGACCTTCTTTCTTTAATGTAAAGCTTTACACAAATAGTTAAGCATTCATGTTTATTGCGTGCTACAACTTTTGTCGCATGCGAGACAAAAAACGGGAAAAATCAAATTATATGAGGCAAAAGTTAACTTTTTGGGAGTTAAGTTACAATTTAAAGCAAATTCAATGGAAAGAGATTCAGAAAAGTATACATTGATATTTTAAAAAGGATGCAAAAGTGGAAAACTATAGATCAACCATTGTGGCATGTCATACATTGCCTAAATGTTTCTGTTTGGGGTTTTCCTAACTATCGTTTCCAATTATCAATATTAAGTACTACGGTTTATCCGAAAGAAATCATTTTCAGGTCGAGATTGTACCTATTATAATTACCAGAGTGGTCTCGCGGTACCGTTCTCGCATTGCATATTTGTGTACAGCTGGTTGAATCAAACATCATAGAGACGTAACATATTTGCTCTGAATTAGAATATTGCATTGGGTCAAGTGGTCAGTTAACTTGTACGCATGACGTTATAAATCAGCTTGTCGATTTATCCAAATCATAGTATCCTTACATCATTTCAATACACCATTGTCCAAACTATAATTATAAAAGAGAGTCGAAAGATACCAAAATGATAATCAAAATCATATGTAAAAAACAAACTGACTAAGTCATAGTAAAAAACGAAAATAAAACATAACAAAAGACAAAAAACATATATAGAAAATAAACTATAACTGGGGAACACGAACCCCACCAAAACTTGGGGTGATTTCAGGTGCTCCTGAAGAGTAAGCAAATCCTGATTCACTAGTGACACCCTCCGTATTGCTCATTTAATTACAAAACTGGTGACAAGTTTAATATCGTAGGTCATATTTGAGAAAAGAGGATGGGATTGTGGTAACGGCATTTGTAACATACATGTATTTATAGTCATCTTTGAAAAAACATATTCCATAACGTTCAACTGGACCTTTGCCATAAACGTATAAAGTATGAATGTTGATGACTGTAAGGATATCAATAGCTTTCATAAAGTCGGTTAATGTCTCTTTATTGATGCTCGAGGTAAAATATTTGAATATCCAAAATCTAAAACAAATGTTGAAGAGCATATCAAACCAAAAAAGAACTTAATAAAAGTATAGCCGGATCCGGTCAAGGAATCAGAGCTTTGTATAGGAAGATATAGTCCTTAATTAAAAATAATTTCCAGAAATTTAATTACAGAAATTTCAGGGGGTTCGCCAGCGCTAGAATTAGATATAACTACACAATGTGTCGAAATTTGGATCTACTTGTTCCAGTGATTTTTAATTTTATGTTTCTACAGAATATTTTGGAAACTTGAGGTTACATGGTTAATAAAGCTTGTACACATGGAAAATAAGTGTCCTGTAATACTGAGCAGGATAAAACTTTAACCTGCCAATATTTCTTTATTTGAAACAAAGACAAATTCTGCACAGATTTTTAAAAAGAGACTAATAGGGGAAACAACTGTGGTTTTACTCTTATACAAGCAGTAATTATATTCTAATAATATCATAATAGCAACAGCACTCTGCGTCTATATGCAACTTTTTTATTACAGACATATTTTATCTACCGTTTGTTTTATATATTGTTATATTTATCTTTTTAATACTGGCTAATGAAATCATAATACAGTGTGTATTGGCTGGTCATTATTGCGTATGATATGATTATGATACGCCTACGTACCTATAGAATATGCATGACTATAGATGAGAACAGCACGTGTAGCCTAAAACTGAGAGTTGTAGCACAACTGTACATAATTATGTAGAAAATTAGAACAGAAATATAGTGTTTAATTATTTAATAATCCGAGCGAGTAAAACACGGATCTATCAATATCTATTGATTTATTGAAAAATGAACACTCAGACTTTTCAGTTTAAGCAAATAAACATGAATTAGGAAGTGATATCAAATCTGTCTTCAACATCTCATGTATATTTTGACTTTATCTTTGCCCTTAACGAAAGTTTAGAATTTTGATAACTGTAAGGATAATAATAGCTTTCAAAAAATCGGTTAATGTCTCTTTATTGATGCTCAAGGTCAAACTATTTCAATATCCAAAATTAAATACAAATTTTGAAGAGCATATCAAACCAAAAAAAGGACTTTATAAAAATACAGCCGAATCCGGTCAAGGAATCAGAGCTTTGTATGAGGGAGATATATTCCTTAATTCAAAATAATTTCCAAAATTTAATAAATTACAGCAAATTTCAGGGGGTTCGCCAGCGCTATATCTAAATACAACAACACATTGTGTCGAAATTTGGATCCAATTGTTCCAGTGATTCAGACTTATTTTTGAAAATATTTATCGATACTGGACGGATGAAAAACGGTATAAGGGTTGATAAATACTTACCACAGTAGTTTGCTCTCAGCGATCTGTACCATAACGTTTTGAGGAAACCACGAATAATGAAAAAAAGTACTTCTAAATAAAACAAAAGAAGAATAATAATATCAATATAAACTGTCAACGAGGAAGTATTATTTTAGAGCAGAATACACCCGAAACATAAATGTTAACTACCATAATCTTTTACGTAAATTACATATAAGATATATATAATATAAACATGATAAACGTTTATGATGCATATGTGCTTCTTGCCATTGCATAAAAACCTGTTTTATCTACCTTAAATTTCATATATCAATTGATTTATTGAATCTTGAACACTTAGAATTATAATGACTGGCCCTTTGCCATAAACGACGGAATGAATTTTGATTTGATTGATTGATTTTTTGGTGTTTTAACGCCACTTTTAAGCACCGCTTTTGGGTTATTTCGTTGCGGCCAGTTTTTATTGGTGGAGGAAGCCGGAGTGCCTGGAGAAAACCACCGACCCTCGATAGGAAAACTGACAATCCTAGTCAATTAAGATTGGAGTCGAGTGCACTTGAATTTGACGACAGTTAGGATATAATTAGCTTTCATAAAGTAGGTTGAAGTAATTGCACGCGAATACTTATGATTATACAGTGTTTATTGCAATACTCATGATACTATGTGTGTATAATCTCAATACGTTAAAAAGAGTTACGATTTGTACATTAAAATGAATTATGTGAGTCTTTTAATGTTAACTTCTTTGATATGTATCGATCTAACCGGTGGTTTCTTTGGAAGAACATTACGAGATGGAAATGGGAGGACAAGGACACACATAGATATAACAGCTGCTGGAACATTAAGAGCAATTGACAAGTATATCAAATTAAACAAAGGATTTGGGTCTATTGACGAGTTCTTTAGTAATGGTAAGATACCTTGTATGACTATTAATGTTTAGCTTGACGTTAATATCAATACTCAATCAACCAAGTTCATCTATTGTTCTATTATATGGTATTCAATTACATAGATTTAATATATCAACGATAACTAAGAACTACGTAATATTTACTTTGATTTCCATGGTGCACACATCTTTTTCTTTAATCTTCATCATACATATATATAACAAAATAAGTAGAAACTGTATTACGGATGTAAAATAATCCAATATTAAACAAATAAAAGCTCTTGCAACGATTAACAGTAATCAGAGATAGGTATATTTAAAGTTTAACTATTTTGACCCAACTCATCCTATGTTTTCGTATACCGAATACTATTTGTTATTTAGAGAATTTAGTGTTGATTGCAGATCTTGATTGTTTCTAATAATTTAATTCTCTGTAATTTGTTGGGATGATATGCTATATATAAACTCCTGTCTGATGTTTAAGAATGTTTATTGCCCCTACATGTCTTTTGTTTATTTCTGTCATTCCATTTTTGTCTCATCGACATAATCAACACATCTCCCCTTATTCAACTCATAATGATGTTGACAATCTTAGATCTTAAGACAAGTACCATTATGTTTACCTGATCTGTAAATTTACTAATTTTATTATATTTTTAATCTTCATTGTGAATGGTAAATGTTTATCCAATATACAAGTATTTAACTCTATATCTCCCAAGTCCAAGAAACGTGTGATTAAACCAATTTTACTACATATTATGATACTCAACAATATATCATTGGAATATGACAAAATCATCCTATATACAGAACCATAAAATGCAGAATGGAAATGGAGAATGTGTCAACGACACAACAAACCGACCAAAGAACACAACACAACCAAGACCACCAATGGGTCTTCAACACAGCGAGAAAATCCTGCAACCGGAGGCGGGCTTCAACAGGTCTTTAAACAAAAATGTGTACTAGTTCAGTGAAAATGAACGTCACACTAAACTCTAAATTAACTAAAATTTAAAACAAATCATTCAAGACTAACAAAGCCAAAAGGCTCCTGACGTCGGACAGGCGCAAACATTGACGGGGTTAAAAATGTTTTATGAGATTCCATGCATTCAAAGTCTACAAATATTGTTTAAGATCTCAATGGCAAGGATACCATGATGAAGAAAATATTTGCATTGAGAAAAGCTGTTGCTGATACACAGGAGAACAAGAAGGATACAGCTTATATACATTGTCACGCCGATCAAATCTTACTCGGTAAATTTTATATAATATAATGTCGTTATCGTAAAACTCTAACATAGTCTGCAGTTAGTCATTCTAAATATACCGAAATGTTTTATTATACACATTGTTAAATAAATTTTCCTTATCTTGAATAATATCAATTCTGAACACCAATTAAAAGAAACACATTACCAACAACACCAACTTCTTTGCTAGTAAAACCCAATATACTATATCTTTAAAATTAGTAATAGAGTTGATTGTGACACTAAGAATTCTTGCGTACTTAATCAAATCATTTAAATCTTATTAATTTCTGAAAGTAATTTGTTCAAATCACCAAAAAATTCTTTTGTGTTTTGTTTTTCCTTCAGAAATTTAAAGTATAGAATTTAAATTCGTTCAAAAAAATACAAGAATCCTATTTCCTGTTTTCTAGAAGAATACATACCAAACGGACTTTAAACAAAAGATGGAAATATGTGAGTTATGATTTAAAACACAACAACATACAATTGTACATTAGTTAACCATGAAACATTATCCATAGTCTTACATGATACGACTTAAGAAGGATACTCGATATGTTCACAAGTGGTTATTTCCCCTTTAAGATCATTTGAAATTTAACTATCTATATTTTTGCAACATCCTTGTTACTTTACATCAAAGTAGGTGTTATATTTCATTCACACTCAATTTGTTTTGATTTCAGCACATAACTTCGTGAAATCTTGTAAACAGAAGTTGTTTGCGCGAAAAAATGACACCAACGAATTCATAACACAGCTGGGAGAATGTCTGTATACTATACAATCATTCTATAGTAATACGAACTGGGTGGAAATGTATGGAGGTGTTGCGTATAAAGATTTTGGTAAATATGAGTCAAAAGAGACAGGACCATACCACCCCCTCTTCCCCCCCCCCCCCGCCCCCCCCCCCCCCCCCAAAAAAAAAAAAAACAAATAAAACTCGAACATCTGCTTCATGAAACGCTCATCATGCTAGTTGACATCGAGGCTACTTACTATGTCAAGAGTGGTAGGGTAAGCCAATTTTATAGGTCACTATATCAAGACTCATGATAAATGAAAGTATGAAAATTTAGGTAAATATATACGATAAGGTTGTTAAGATTGAAACTTCATGTATCTGAAACTAATCAAATGTATGTTTCTTTATAAAGATGTAATTAAAACCAAGGTCGTTGATGCAGCAGATAGTTGTCTTATATGTTTTATCTCTCCTAAAATACTAATTAAGAAATAGTTAAGTTGTTAATTTTGTTTAACTATAATACTTAATTATCTTGAGTTACAAGACAAATTATTAGTTTCATCATATCTTTTTAAAATAGGAATAAATGATTTAATGGACGTAGCGGCCTTGGAAGACGACACCTGTTTAGATTATGCGGATTACAAGTATGTGAAAAGTTTTATCAGAAGTTAATAAACAAGGAAGTACGGGGTTTAAATGTTAAATTAAAGTTGATATATATTATCGATTACTAGTACCATAAAGAAATGACCTAATTTGAGTATTACTCATATGTTTTTTACCTAAATTAAATGTGAATCTGACTTTTTTGTAATTTTCAAGTCTCATATTTCGGCAAATACTTTGAAATTAGTTTGACAGAAAAGGTATTCATGATTGTTTACAGAACATTCAAATTAATAATAATCGAAGGAATATAAAACAAATGTGGTATAATTATTAGTATGTACACTTATTACACGTCTCTCTGCGGTTTATTAAAAGCATTTGAATCTTTATCAGATTATTATACCCATTTTTTTACCGTGTCTGTATTTAATCAAAAGCTTTGATTTTAGTGTTTTCTGTTAGTCTGTGTCTTTGATAACATGTATAAAAAGAGATTTTGCTTTCATATGAATAAGACAGCAGCAAAACAAATATAAAGGGTAGTGGAGACATAATAAGGATCATGAATCAAGCATAGGCCACAGTACGTCCGAAAAATCCAGCTAAACAATCTTTTTGGGTGTTGATTTTGTATTGCTGATAACTTTTTCTGTGTACAGATTTCCTTTTTTTTAATTCAGTTTATGGTAAAAAAAAAAAAAAAATAGTGTTAAACATCTACATTTCTACACACTCCTATAAAAAGTATAATAATGAATTCGGCAAAATTTGACCTATTTGTAGATCTTGTTTTAAGAGTGTCCATCTATCTTTTACAGCCGATTGCATTGATTGTGTAGGTAAAGGTAATATCTTTGGTTAGCTTGCTTGCCAGCTGAACCGTGAAGTCATTATTAGGTAAGGTATACTACCCTCCTTTCGAAGTAGCCTAGTCCTACAGACAGATACATCGATTATATGTTGGACTAGTCTACTTTTAAAGGCGGGTAGTTTACCTAACCTAAACATGACTTCACGGTTAAAATAGCCAGCAAGATAACCAAATTGGCTGTAAGATTTTTAAGATCAAGAACTCCAGTAAAACAAATCAGATTGAGGCAAAAATGTTCAGAATCTTGTCATCTACCTTATGTCCGTTTTCGTCAAAACTGTCAGACGAAAAAAAGGTCACTATGTTGGAATGCCATATGACGGGAATATTTCACCGAATTGATTTCTTTCAAATCTCAACACTCCATTTTAAATTCCCACACGTAGTACACTAACAATTGGTACATGAAAAATAAATGATTATTTATTTTCTCCCTCGTTTCACTTCTCCGAAAATAAAGTTTTTTCTGAACTAGATATCGTAGAAAAAACCAAACACAGTATAGGGTTGTGAGTTCGCTACAAGATCGCCTTTAATTTAACATGTTCAACATAAATATATACAATCAGCCATACATAAATGTATCAATTTTCACTATACACAAGTCTATAAGAAACGACTATATATAAGATGGGTAATGGGGTGGTGAATAGTCTACCAAACTAACCTAGTCCTTACTATTTTGTAACAAACGTTGCATTGGTCAAACACACCATAAATTTTCCTGATATACTGACTGCCAAAATCGTCCGTGCAGAAAGGAAAATAATTGGTATTACCCTATCTAATTTAAATATAGAAAAACCGTTATACATAAAACATGGGACCGTAAAGAAATGTAATTAGTAAGGATCGAATGTGTAAATATTAGCTTCCGTCGATTATTTACCGCGGACATTATTAGTTACATAGTGTGCGAGTGACCTTATACGGTAAATACGGGGTCAGTAAATTCCGTATGGGATGAGAGCGAAGCCTGAATCCCCATATCGAATTTACTGACGCCATATATACCGTATTACGTCACTAGCACACTATGTAACGAATTTATCTTATCGACTATCTTAACATGTGGGATTTAGACTAATGACCTATCAAAGTGAGCAAATCTTCAATACGGTTATCATTAAGAAACTACTTCGGATCCATTGTCATACAAAAACAAATTCCAACAATAACAACTTGTTAGCTTATAAATGTATTTCAATCTTTCACCATAAATTCTTCGTATTTTTAAAAAGGGATGTAACACCACTACTAACCGTGTATTGAACTAAGCCCCGCCTACTAACCTAATATGGAATATACACGGTGTCCACGAGGTTGCTTTAAACCAACCATATTCCAAGAAATGTACAGGAAGTAAGATAAATATATATAAGTCAGTGGGAGTTGCATACATCGGTTGAGAAAGAAGATCCTATTTTTGCGCCCTTTTCTTTTGTGAAACACTTTTAAATACATTTCATATTTTGCCTTCCTTCATTGAATTATTAATATTTTTTTTAGTTCTGAATGTAAGAACAACATAAGAGTGAACGGAAAGCTGACCAGCGGATACCATCACAGAAGAGGCAACACAAAGCCTGCAAGTAGGTAACCTTTAGATAACTTTTTGAAAATTCAGAGACAAACACAAAACAAAGAAAGTTACATGAAATCATATTTTTTTGAGAATTTAGATTATAATTTTACTTTGGAGATGCCGATAAAATTACATATGTGAACTGTGATTGAATGGACACATATGAGGGTCTTGATGCGGTTTACTGAAGAATAGATCATAATAAGAAATAGAGAATAATGGGGTGCTAATTTATAAAGAAAAGAGATATTGGACAAAAACAAAATTGAAAATAAAGAAAATGGTATAAAGACTTATGAATAAAGAAACGAACCCCCATCCAGACCTTATGTATTATATACATACTACATTGTTTTGGGGATGTATAAATACCCTGCCACATCCGGTATGTGTTTTCGATGAGTTAAGACCTTTTCAACGGAGCTTTATAGTTTGTTGTTCTGTTACACCACAAAGTCTTGGGGAGGATTTGGCGCCAACAAACTAGTTAAACCCTTCCACATGCTGTAAGTGCATGTCCCAAGTCAGAAGCCTGTAATTCGGTAGATATCGTTTGTTGCTGTAAATTTTTCGTTCATTGTTTTGTATTCAAATCAGGCCGTTAGTTTTTTCGTTTGAATTGTTTTACAGTTCTCCTTTCAGAGCCTATTAAAGCTGATTATGCAGTATAGGTTTTGCTCATTGCTGAAGGCCATACGGTGACCTATAGTTGTAAACTTCTATGTCATGTGGTATCTGGTGGAGAGTTTTTTCATTGGCAATCATACCACATCCTCTTAATATATGAAATTTAGTTGCTTTAATTTTAAAATTTAAATAAAAGATCTGACCAACTAGTATGTGAACAGTTTTAAAACTGATCATTTCTGTATTTATCTTTAGGAGCAATTGGTTCATCAACTGGTAAATGTAGTCATGGAGGTCCTGACGATGACAGCAGAAAGCTTGTGGCCAGATGTGGCATCAATAAGGATTCTTTTACTCCTAAGTGGTCACCACATTCTCATTTACACAACCAGGCATATACGGCCGCTGTCCAGGCTACAGAGAACTTTCTTGTAGCTGATAGTAAGAGAAATAGCCTCATTTCAATCCCTTTCGAAATGATGCTGAACGTTCAGCTTAAGGTTGAACCGCACTTATATTTCCACAAACAGATTTATATTGTTAAGCATTTCACAGCCGTATAATACTTTTACTTTAATTATTCATCCCTTATTTTTATTAACTTTGTATTAACATTGTATCAAAGATCAAATTTATTCTTTCAATGTATGTTCATTTGTGTTACTACTTCTTTTGATTGAGTTAAGCCATTCCAATTGATATTTTATAGTTTGTTTTTCTATGTTGTGATGTTACACTATTGTTTCAGATAAGGTTTGGTACCATTAAAACGTTTAAACCCGCTGCAATTGTTTGCACCTGTCCTAAGTCAGGAATCTGATGTTCAATAGTTGTCGTTTCTTGATGTGTTTCTCGTTTCTCCTTTTTTTTATATAGATTAGACCGTTGTTTTTTTCCCATTTGAATGGCTTTACACTAGTATTTTTTGAGGCCCTTTATATCTTGCTGTTCGGTGTGAGCCAAGGCTATGTGTTGAAGACTGTACCTTGACCTAAAATGGTTTACTTTTATAAATTGTGACTTGGATGCAGAGCTGTCTCATTGGCACTCATACAACATCTTCATATATATATTTATCATACTTTGCCAAAATGAAGATTTATATATATGCAAACGGTAAACTTTCATCACTTGACAAATCACTTGGTGTGGTTCGTGTTGCTTATTTAGACTTTAGTTTTCTATGTTGCGTCTGGTGTACTAATATGTGTCTGTTTGTTTTTTTCTTATTTAACCATGGCGTTGTCAGTTTATTTTCGATCTGTCCCTCTGGTATCTTTCGCCCCTCTTTGATGTTAGTGATTTAGATTTCTTTGAAGTGTTTTTGTAGCATTTTAAACCATTTGGACGGTTATAGCATTTTCATTATGTTTACGATTTCATAGGATATGCACATACAAACGTTAATAAGAAAGCTACCAATAGCACACCCAAAATACTTGAATAATCCGCATAGCAAGGTCTATGAAGGGTATGCACATATAAACGTTTATGAGACAGCAATCGATAGCACAAACAAAATACTAGAATACTAGTAGTCCATATATTAGGGTCTAGAAAACGTTTATTCGACACTAAACAGGTTTCTTAGCAACATGTTTAAGTAATATTTTACTCAGAACATGTATTTAGCCTCGCGGTATTGTGATGGGACTGTCACTAGTAAAAACAAACCCACCAAAAGTTGTCTATCGTTATAACTGTAAGGAAATCGTGTTGACAAGATATCGTTGTAGATCTCACTGACATTTATTGACAGTTTTGTACGTTCTTGTAAATTGAGTTCTAAATTTATTTTATAACATTTATGTATTGCTTTTTAAGGCAGATTCGTTTAGGTCAAATCTCCTTTAATTCATATTTTTCGTTCGTTTAATCACACAAGAACGAAGCAAAGTAGCACCATTGTTTTGGTTCACACCAAAAATATATGAATAAGATGTAACTCTAAAATATCAATGTTGCATTATATTTTTTGTAACTTTCCTTACTTTATTGGTCCTAACAATTACATTGAGCAAGATAGGTGCAGATAAAGGGAAGGGGTCAATAAGTTTCCGTCTACAAAATGCATTATCCCAGCTTTCCTGTCATCGATTGGTACTTACGCATATACTTCCTTTCCTATTAAAGCAGTCGAGCCATCTTTGGACATTCCAATGTATAATAATATGAATTATACCTTTTCTTTTTGATCAAGGAACTGGAGTGTTAAAGACAATTGGATCAAAAATTTTTGAAGATATATTTCATGTTAAAAGACGGGAGGACATGACTCTAGCTATTGCAATTGACTATACTGGTTCTATGGCAGATGATATTGATGCTGTCAAAACACATGTGATAAAGCTGTTAACAACCACTGTCGGGTCTGCCAGTGAACCAGCTGGTTATGTTTTATCTTTGTTTCATGATCCAGGTAGGAGTTTTTATTCGAATTATATTTTAGAATTATCGAGGCTATTAATTATTAAATTGCTCTAAAGAACAACAGGCACTTTTTTGATATACATAGTTTTTCAGATCTCTTATTTTATGTGGATCGTGAATACCATTATAAACTAAAAGAAAATAATACTTTACATACTAGTAATGAAAAATTACTGAAAAATGGAAAAAAAATCTATTCGGCAACTAACGTCTGAAATGATTGTATTTCATTTTTATGAATTTTCTGTCACTTTAGTTGTCCAAATGTGTAGTTAAAACGTCTTTTGATCTAGTAATTTGGACTATCCTTATCGTTATCTGATAATCTATTTAATTGGTTATGAAAAAACGTTCTTGGACCGCCATATTTCTTTTTATAGATATCTATTTTTCTGTCCTGGTCAGTATCTTGTTGTAACTTTCACTTAGTATTATCGAATTTTTCTTTTCAGTAAGCTGGAATTCCGCTCATAGGTACGTTGATGGGTATGTCATGATTAATAGAGTTCAAGCAATTGAAGCAGAATATGGGGATAATCGAGATTGTCCGGAATATGCAGTAGCAGGAATGTTAGCAGGTATCATATAAACATCAGATTCAGAACTACGGTTATCTAAATTAAAGTTTACGAAATCTGCAGCAGAAGTCTATCTTGCTAACATTTAAAACAGAAAGTAGTGGTGACTATTTCAGACCGGCAATCAAACGTCATATATCTCTTGGTATTCTCGTTTGAAATATGTTGCATTTGTCATGTCGTTCCCTTTTTATAGCCGACTATCCATGCAGTGGAATTATTATCAAATTGGCAATTATATCAGATATTTTTATAACTAGACACAAAGACGAAAACAAGGCATCCATATCTTATACAGTAATCTGTTGTTGCTCTTCTAAGTGAATTTAAATAACATCTTAAATAAAGAGGCGGTGATTTAGAGCTTATAACATGTCTTTTGTTGAAGACAGCATGAATCATTCCTGTTGTCTATTTTGTTTTAAACTTTGATAAATAAACCATTATTATTTTTACTAAAAATGAATTTTTGAAATGTGAAAATATCACTTATTATGGGCTCATTATATGCTACCAATACTCTATTACCCGAGACTAAAATCATGTTATTTTGCAGGACTAGCCTTTCATGAAAATCCCCAATTATATTATAATATTTACTCTTGTAAATATCAGTATTTTAACCAGGAGTTCTCATTTATTTCGTGTGAAATTGTACTAGTATAAATTATAATGTGCCTAAATAAAGGCCACAGTAGTATACCACTGTTCAAAACTCATAAATGGATTGACAAAAAATAAATACGGATTACAAACTAAAACCGAGGGAAACACATCAACAATAAGAGGAAAACAACGAAACCACAGAAACACTGAAGTGCAACAAAAATCAAACGACAATGCAACATACATAGAAACGAACTATTAGATAACAACTGCCATATTCCTGACTTGGTACAGGACATTTAAAGAAAAAAATTATGGTTGAACCTGATTTTGTGGCTAGCTAAAACCTCGTGGTTTATGGCAATGTTAAATATACCGATAAAATGACAACATTACATGACAGGACAGGAATACAGTACAAATAAATATTTGATTGTCTGATTGTCTCTTCCAACTAAATTTTAACATTTACTAAATAAATGTTAATGTACAGAACCCCCTTACTTTTTTCCTTTTATTTGGTTAAGGTAGTAAACTGTTTTATTGTTCAGTTCTGTTCATATTTTGATTGTTCTGCGTATTGTAATCTGTGCTTACTTTCTTCAGAACATGAATACAAACTATCGTCCTCGCTCTACGATGTAAAGGTTGTATCGCAAGACAATAAATATACTTTGCAAATACTTTTTCTGTCAATAATAATGTCCCAAATGATTATTGAGTTATTCAAATATTCGGGTTTGGGATATCACATGCGTGAAAATAATAGTATGTTTCATATTTGCACAGCAATAGCACTGTTGAGAGATAACTCGCCACTGTATGTATTTACGGATGCATATGCAAAAGATGCTGACCGCATTCAAGAAGTCATTGATGCAGCCAACGCAAAGAATATAGCAATATCGTCATGTCTAACTAATCAGTGTACTCGCAGAAAACGATCAGCATTAGGTTGGTATATTTATGATACAAATAAATATGGAAAGCGGTAATGTAATCGTCTCATTCCCTTGGTTTCAAAACAATTGAATGAATTAATTAGATAATTGAAATGGCTGATGCCAATCTCAGCCATTTTAATTATCTAACTTTTTGATTATTAAATTATCGATTAACATTATTCAAACATTTCAGAGTCATTACACATAGTATAACAATGTGTCCAGTACATTTGTGCTCAATTTTCATGTCTTGCATGGGTTATCGGCCGGCATAAGACCAAACAAAATACATGATATCGTTCTGAATATTCAAGCAATATTTGCCTCTGTACATAAAACCCAACAGACGCGGGTTTTATCTTTAAATGATTCATCATCAGTGTCGCTCAAATGAAAACAACTAGAAGGCCAAAATCAACCAGGAAGTTGCATAGCATTTAAAACAAAAATAAAACCAAAACAATCAAAACGTAATGCCAAATCTGGCTTAGCATGTTAAGCTATAGCAATGTATGCTTGAATGATGAAAAACCTTAGTTTTTCGAATTAACTTTTTTAAGTTTTACGAACAGCAAATTGACGTGTTATGATATTTCATGTCATCAAAAGCTGTCATTAACAAATCTATCAAATTTAACGTATTCTTGTTCATTGACATTATTGCAAATGATTGCAAATAATGTGTTAAGTCTGCATTTATGTTTGATGAATTTGTTCTGATATTTTAGGTCGACCTGAACGTTCTGCATCGTCATTGTCATTTTTCCAACAAATAGCAGAAGCAACAGGTGGAAATGTCCATGAAACAGACAAAGAAAACATTGGCAATGTCATAGAAACTGTAATAGGGGTAAAATCTAATTATGTTTAGTAATTTAGAACAAAGCCACATCTTACACTTTACATTCAGTGAAAAGATAAATAATATTTATATCCATGGCTTGTAGTTTTTCTAATGTTATGATAGTTTTATGTCACTGATGAGTCTTATGTAGACGAAACGACGTCTGGCGTATTAAATTATAAGCCTGGTACCTTTAAAAACTATTATGTAACGATAAAGACCGTAAGAGTTTAAGTTACAAAAGAATGCTGGTAACTTTAATTTAATATCTATTATTCATTGGAAACTAATTAACACTTTCTCTTATATTGTAGGAAACATTTCCGTCTGGTGAAATAATTATAGACTCGTTTGACTGGTCTGTCTCTGAAACTAATGACAAAAATATCACCGTTGATAGTACGATCACAGTGCTCAAGATAAGTGTTACAGGGTCATCTGCAGAAACAGATGTAGATATATATTATGCTAATGGTATGTAATATTTTCAGCATGTTTAACTATACGTGCATGTCTCACTTAGAATTAATTCTACTATATATTTCAAGATGTAAGTCAAACTTGTGTTTTAAGTGACAGAATTAAGATCAGTACCATGACAATTTAGTAGAAGACATCCACCTCCGGGTGCGGGATTTTCTCTCTGCGTTGAGGACCAATTATGTGCTCTTTAGTCGGGTTGTTGACATATTTCTTAATTCCATTCTCAATTTTATCTTCGCTAGATGAGGGTTACGATCCGACTTACTCCTCTTCACCCATGGCAGATTTAGACAGTATTTGTATAAACAGCGTAGTGCCATCTAGCGACAGACTGAAGTGACATCTGATCCCACTACATCACAATTGACTAATGACAGAACTTGCAATCTTTAGTTCAAAAGTGTACAAATGACTGTGTCCAATATTTGATCGTGTTTATAAATTTTTTAAAACAGAAATCGCATTGATTTTTTCGTTTACAGTCCAACACTTGCACGTGGAACACAATCACGAACTTCAAAACTGTCACTTGATATCGTTCTATGTTTGAGACGCGTTTCAAAATCTGAACGTGGCAATTGTTTACTTACATTGTTTTCATTTACACGAGGCAATCTTAAAAGCGATTATGATTGAATGCAGCTAGATACAACTGCGTCCAATGGAAGGCATTACCACTCGTTGATCACGAATTCTGACTTAATTTTTCCAGGAGAAGAGGAGCAGGTTGAATCGTAACCCTAGTTTAGCGTAGATGAAAAGAATTGACACATATATATAATGAATAAGATTCAACAGTTAAGATATATGCTAATAGCTGATGTAACGAGTGTGTTTCGACTTGTCACATCTGTATTTAATTCGGTATTAACAGTTTCAATTGCTGTGTATACAGTGAATTCATCTATTTTTGTGGGTATTAATATTCGTTAATTGAGGAAAATGTTTTTTTTCGTGGATATTTGATTCGCCAAAGTCTGCATACAACATGTACAAGCATATAGAAAATATGTACTTTGTTTAACATTTGAATTCGTGGTTCACCTGTCCCAACGAAATCAACGAAAATGGTATCTAATGAATACATGTAAAAATAAATCAAGAGTAACTCGTTATGTAGATTATTACTTGTCTTTTGATAATTTTTGTCATTATGTGGTCTGTTTTCAGTTGTTTTTTTGTAGTTGCTAATAATTAAGCAATTCTAAGTAAAACTGCACTGATCCGTAAGGAACAACTGCAAATTTTGGTCACTATGTAAATGATATATAGATATAGGAAGATGTGGTATGAGTGCCAATGAGACAACTCTCCATCCAAGTAACAATTTATAAAAGTAAACCATTATAGGTCAAGGTATGGCCTTTAACACGGAGCATTGGCTCACACCGAACAGCAAGCTATAAAGGGCCCCAAAAATTACTAGTGTAAAACCATGATCATTTTGTTGCTTGCCTAACGTCAAATTAAAAAAAACCAGATCATACACTTCCAGGAGTAAATAAGTTTACAAAACAGTCATTTATATTATTTAGAGAGGGCCAAACCTGAACAATTGGTTGAAAAATTCGAGAGGACACTTGATCCTACTTTAGCAGCAGCTTTGTGGATATAATGGGCATCTCATATTTACTGAACAGATATATCATGTTAAGGAGGGGTATTTGCGAAAAATACCAGTCGAGAGAATGATAAATTTTGCGAGCCGTAAGGCGAGGGAAATTCATTCTCAATAACATGCTATATCTGTTTAGTTACACCGAATGTTAACGTACAAAACGCATTGATGATCGTGACATTACAAGCGTCCAGTCGGATAGAGTATTTTTTGGCAAATACCACGGCAGAGAGGGTAAAAAAGGCATATCCTTTTTGCATATACCCCGGCGCTGTTTAAAAATGAACGATATTCATTTGATAAAAGTAAATTGGTGAAAAATACACTGGCACTCAAGCAATCAAAACCCAGGATTCTTACATAAGGTGTAATTAACTTGTTTATCTTATTTATGTATGAAACCTGTTTAAATTTGTCTTTCTAATTTTGAATTTCATAAAAGGTACATTGGAGACATACTCATCTGGAAAGTCAACAAGAATATACACCTCATCAGGCGAAACAATTATATCAATCCAGGTATTATATTAGATATGTAGATATGCAGTACCCTGTGATTTTATAAATGATGTTAAAAGCAAATTAAAAAAACAGAAAGTAAATATTACGGAAATCGCAACAAAAAGAAAGGGCTTTTACAAAATACATAAAGAGGTCTTGATGCGTACTCATTTAAAGATCAGCGTTTGCACTACAAGCCAAAATCTGATCTGTTATGAGTCTATACGAAGGCAGGTTGTGAGTAAGTTCTTGTTTTAATTGTCAATATCTAACAATGTCCGTTTTATTTAGCAAAAGCGATACAAATAGTGTTCATGCGGACCTGAGGTGTAGAGCAAACTCTATACATTCTTTATGTGTCTGTCCCAAGTCATGACCCTGTGGTTCATTGGTTGTCATTTCTTCATGACAGTCATATTTTTTTTCATAATTTTTTTTTTTTATAAATAAGGTCGTTAATTTTCTTAGTTCAACATATTGAATATCTTCATAGTTATCAACTATACTGTATGAGTTCTGCTCATTGCTGAACGCCGTGTGGGTTACCTTTCATTGTTGAAATCCACCTTCATTTTAACTTTGGTTGATAGTTGTGTCATTCCACAATCATACCACATCTCCTTATTGTTTGATCCCCGGCAATAACAAATGTCGATATTGATACAAGTATACTATTTTATTTAGCATCCTCCCGGTAGTATCATGAAACTAAGAAGGAATGTACACAAAGATTGGAAGGTAAATATAACAGCACAGAGTTCTATCAAGGTTGACTGTGAACTATTGGAAAAATCAGTTAATGGTGAAATGGTCTCTCTGAAAGGCAGTCCAATTTCGGGTAACTATTTTTTTTAGATATCTAAAACTACTTCTATTAGTTATCATTATTTCATTGATAAACTGAATGCTTGTTATAATTTTACCAATTTGAATTGTTGGATAATATAAATCCGATTTGTTCCAAAGCGAATGCATACTCGTGAATTATGAATTGTTTCCACCCACACACAGCTTACATTTAAAAGTATTTTGTTAATCATTTTGATAGTGTACAACATCAGCTAATATTAAACAACGTCTGTCGAATGTGAAGTTTTGAATTTTCATAGCAAAATTTCATATTGTTGTCTATTCAAGAAATACCAGCAACAAAAACGCTGCGCCTTTGGTATGTAATAATTTTAAAAAAAATATTTGTCGTTTCTTAAATTTTTGTTTTGCTATATATTTTTTCCCCATTTTTTTTATAGATAACAATTATACTGTTGAATTGTCCGTGTATAACCTTGGACCAAGTGGCACATGTCACAAAATTGCATTGACTGATAGTGCCGGAAATGTTATATCGTCACACGAGCTATTACAGTTGCGACGAGATGTCGATACTTTGTGTGCTGCAAATTTCAGAATGCCAAATTATGTAAGTTTATGTTGAAATAACCACATTTACTTAAGTCTTTAATTAACCACTTGTCTTTTTTCCTCTTTTTACGGTATTTGATTTGAAGAATGAACTGTTTATTGAAAATAGTCATAAATTCTAAGTAAAAAAAATTAAACTCTGCCCCCTCATGCATAATTCTGAGTCCACACCCAGGTTTGTTTCAAGTTTTTGATTTTTAGATTTTTTGACATCGCTAAAGTGACTTTTATTGTCAAATGGCGCACCGGTGCAGTATAATTGGTATTGTCTATGTTTTTAATCATATATCTTGCAACGAAGGAAGAGTATAGTGCTCTAATTCTATTCGACAGTCCGAGGAAATGTTGAACGTATTTTTATTAGTACTACGAATGAGACCTTCCTAACAAATTTTTTAAAGCTTCATATCATCATGTTATGTTGTGTTATACATTGTCAAATTCCTAAATTATCATTGTTTGATAATGAAATGCTAAAAAATAATGGAGTTACCATATACAGTATATCTTGTTAATAGTTGGATACTGTTCAGTGTATATAGAATACATCATATTCATTTCAGGAATTCAAAGTTAAACTATATGGGAATGATAATAGTGGAAGACCATTCACAAGGAAGCTCTCGGAAATCTACCAACACTCAAGCGTCGAACTAACTATCAAGGCATCAACTGGTAGGTATGTAAGTACAGACATGGGGGGGGGGGGGGGGGGGGGGGGGGGTGTGGGCATGTTTCTGAACATACACAATTTGATATAGACGTCTGGCGCTAGGATTTTACAAAACTTATTTTGATGAAGCACATTAAATAGCCCCTGGATTTTGGTGGGGTCCGTTTTGCTCAGTTTGTAGCTTTCTGTGTATTGTTTTGAGTACCATTGTTTGTGTGTCCTTATCTATCATTTTAAGCAATGACATTGTTAGTTTATCTATTTATAAGTTTGAATATCCCTTTAGTATATTGTGCCTCTCTTACTTCATGGGATCATTCATATTATTAAACTGATCAGTAATTAGTTTTTACAGAAAAAAATGAACCATTATGACGCATTGTCATACACTTTTCTACCTGTGAAGTTACTCTCTATTGATATATTTGACATTCCAAAGAAATCACGCATGACAACGGCAAGTCTGAGTATGGGAAGACCCCTCAGTGGTTCAAGAAAATGTCGTTTAATATGCTTAACTGCAAATATCACTACAGTAGAAATGAAAAAAAAACAACAAATCTTGACAAAGAGGAATCTGTTTATTTTCAAGTAAGGGTACCAGTATCGAACATTGAAAAATACTATTTAATGTTTCAATGGCAGTTAATACAACTGGAAAGCGTATGTCACTTTTTATTTGCTATGATTATAATAATATTCACAGACCTGGTTAATGCAGCGAAGTGTATATATTGTGCTCTTACAATTATTGTTAATAAAGGCAACAGTACTATACCGCTGTTCGAAAGTCATAAGACTGTTTGACCTTACTATTCACAGCTCTTTTAAAACCAGTAAAGCCATTTAATTCTAATTGTTTAGTACCTAATGGCAATTGATATCTCTTGATGTTTTTCCTCCATATGATTTTCGTAGTTTGCCTTCGGACAACATACAGAGTTAACGATTTCTTCATATGTACAAGACTGCATAATGTATCCTTAACTCCTCAATAACTATGTATATTATCGTATTTGTCTTTGTTTAGTCTCCACCCTTATCCTTTTATTTGTTTCTGCTTTCCCAGACTTCCTACACTGTCCATTTATTATACACATTAATAGCTTTTTATCAATTCAAATATGTTTATATTCCTGCAAACAATTCCATATAACAACAATTATTTTTTTCAGATGACGTTATACTTGGAAAGGAAAGGCTAATTGGTTATGAGGTTTTAAATCGTGGTACTGTGACAGAGACGTATCAAGTATCAATATCAGACGACCATTCATTTGTCCATGGAACTACAGTTGTAGAGTACACCCTTCTTCCTGGAGATGGTGCTAATGGAACCTTTGCTGTTAAGCCTACTACACCCTCTATTATAATGTATGCTTTATTAGCTTCTAGCCTATAACACTTCTTTCTGTTACATTGTATCTATCTTTTGTGAATTTAAATTATTCATTTAAAAAATCAGTTTATGTTTATCACCTTATTCTTTCAATCAAAATTGAAACAAATAAAAGTAATAGTAGAAAACCGCTGTGCAGTAGTCATATTGAATAATACAGACATGTTTTATTATCACTCAAACTAAAAATTCACTGAAACTGACATTATCAAGATGCTTGATTTCTTGATTGACAACATATTTGTTACGTTTGGAGGACGTGTTTTTCAACAGACTGTCGGCAGTTCAATTGGAATCAATTGTGCCCCTCTTCTTGCCGACTTGTTTCTTTATTATTATGAGGCTGACATCATACAGGAACTTCTTAGGAAGAAAGATAAGAAGTTAGCAATAACCTTTAACTTTACTTTCCGCTATATAGATGATATTCTCTCACTTAATAATTCATAATTTGGTGACTATGTTGAACGCATCTATCCAATCGTACTAAAGATAAAGGATAAAACAGATATAGTTAAGTCTGCCTCATATCTTGACTGACATCTAGAAATTGACAACGAGGGTCGGTTGAAAACAAAACTTTACGACAAAAGAGATGATTTCAGATTCCCAATTGTGAACCTTCCATTTCTATGTAGCAACATTCCAGCAGCGCCTGCACACGTAGTATATATCTCCCAATTGATACGATATTCCCGGGCTTTTATTTCCTATCATGATTTCCTTGATAGAGGGTTGCTGCTCACAAGGAAGCTATTAAACCAAAAGTTACAAATGATGAAGTTGAAATCATCCCTTCGTAAATTTTACGGACGTCATCACGAGTTGGTTGACCATTATGGAATAACCGTTTTACAGATGATATTGGATATGTTCCTTATGTCGTAACTACAATACACTTCCCTTTTTCACCACGAATGTTACCTACCAAATTAGACTATTTACCGGGTTTGTAATAACATGAGCAACACGACGGGAGCCACATGTGGAGCAGGATCTGCTTACCCTTCTGGAGCACCTGAGATCACCCCCAGTTTTTGGTGGGGTCGTGTTGTTTAGTCTTTAGTTTTCTATGTTGTGTATTGTTTACTATTATTTGTCTTTTTATTTTATGGCCATGGCGTTGTCAGTTTATTTTCGATATATGAGTTTGACTGTCCCTCTGGTATCTTTCGCCCCTCTTTTAGAGTACGGCATAACTTTCCGATCTTATATCATATTAACGACATAATACAAAAACTTCTCATCAATGATACAAATCATCATGGCAGTTACTAGTAATATAAAATAAAGGTTTCGAAAAAAATATTTTTGGTTTGCATTCCTTATATGACATAATAAACTTTACGCATCTTTCTTACAAAATACAATTTCCCCCTAAAATGTCAACCTTTATTTCAGCTCATATACAATATCAGTTTTAATTGTGTCAACTGGAAAGATCCAACAGAGTATCACCAGGAAACTTGTGGTATGTTCAATTTCTTCGAGATAGTATTAGTGAACTTTTTAACAGCTTTCTGGAAAGTAGACTTGCATATAAATTTATACTGGTATGTCTATTCATTTTATAAATTTTGCTTTCAAATGCTTAATTTTTAAAAAACGAATATAAAAATTTGTACTATCAAGACTGACATTCGCCTTAAGCAATAGCTCACCAGTATACTCTGCATCAAATGAATTAGAAAAAGATCATTAATCTTTGACACATATGGGTATGTCTACGAACATTTCAGGACCCTTACATCGATAAAAGAAAAATTTCTTGGCACTTTTGTTAGGAACATTGCATCATGTTGCATATTTCATTATAGATATGATAAAATTCAGAATTGAAATGTGAAATATATATCAAAGAGACAACAATCCGACCAAAGAGCAGATAACAACCGAAGGCCACCAATTAGTCTTCAAAGCAGCGAGAAAATCCCGCACCCGGAGGTTGTGCTCAGCTTGCTCTTAAATAAAATTGTTTACTTGTTTAGTGAAAATGAGATCTTTGTCACAAAATATCAAACAAAGCATGTTATTCTCACATATCTTCAAATATTTCTTTGAATTAGGTAACAGATGCTGATTGCACCGTTGTACATACGGATGGAGTATGTGTTATATCGTCCTTAAATACTGAAAACTGTTCTTTGTATTGTACTAGGCAGGGAAATAGACATTTTCAGGAACTATCCCTCTGCAAAATAAACAAACAATAAGAAAATGTATTGGAACAAGAATATTGCACATTGCATCGAAATGTTTAAAACTTGATCGTTATAATCTACAAATACGTGTGCACAGCATGTTCTTATGTTATCATGTTGTACTTTAAATATACTTCTTCAAATATTCCTTTGTATTAGGTAACAGATGTTGAGAGACCTGATTGTACTGTTGTACATACGGCTGGGGTATGTGTTATATCGTCGCTTAATAAAGCTAATTGTTCATTGTACAATTGGACTGCTTCAGCTGAAGTTACATTTTCAGGGACACTGTTACAGGGTATATCATCAACTGTTGGAATGTCTGTTAAGTTGGCTCATGTTAACATAACGGGATTATCAACTGGGCAAATAGCTGTTAACATCAGGTAAGTGCATGACTCGTATGAAAAAAGGGTTTTATATAGATGCATGACAATCGTATGAGGAACGGGGTTTATTAAGATATACATTTTCTTGATGTGCAACCATCCTTTTCTATCCGGTTATGAACCGTGTTAAACAAATATCGATAACTTAAAATTCAGTGTAAACAATAAAACTAATTAGCACACACATTGTTTCCGATGGTCACTACATAATATATTCAGCCCTTATGTTCTCCAACTTTATCAAAATTCTTAATATCCATATGACAAAGATTTGTACTGTGAGCTTGACCCTTTTCCGTCAACAAAATAATGTGTAACAGAAAGATAATCATGACAGTATGCCACTAAAAACAGTCTGCTGATTAGAAAATACAGTTCACTCATCTTCTCGGCAACAAAAAAAGGATCAGAATTTAGAAAAAAATGCATCGTGTATTTCCACTATAAGAAATTAATTAAAGCGACCACTTACCTGTCGACATTGAGGTTGTGAATAAGAATTGCCAGTTGAACCACCGATGGATTTTTCATGCACTCTTGATTTCACCATCAATACACGATATAGCCTAGAGTTCTGAAAGTCGCATTAAATACCAACAGTTAATAAAAAATTTGTTTTTATGGTTCAATTATTGGAATATCTTCTTTTCAATTCGAAAAACAACCTCAAATGTTAAGTGAAAAATATATGATATTAATTTCTGACCTCTGTTCATGATTCTATGGTGACCATTCAACAGTAATACTGGAGTTTAAAATTTGGAAAGCCAATAATAGAAAACGCTGCAAAGCATAAAAACAAAATGGACAATATCGATGATCTCTTAACACAGAGCTCATATACTCATTTGTTTTCAGTGGTGACTGTTGCACGCCATCTTTATCAATAAATGTGATCGATGTTGATGGTTTTATATCACAATGTGATTTATCTTTTGGTGATGGACAGTCAGTTCAGTCAGTAGAAGCTGTGTCCATGCCTTCCGGGTCATCGGTAAGTTATTGATATAGAAATCTCTTTGACCTGCTTGATATTTTCTTGCACATTAAAGGATTATTTTCTATTATTTAACAAATATCAGCACTGTCATGACTTGTTTACTATACTAGAAGAGTGAAATTAGTTTTTGCAAAACTTGTCGTACTTAACTATTAACCAGATATGTTTGACGAATTTTATTGACAAACTTTGATTGTATACCTAACATCACAAACCGTTAATCCTACATTGTAGTAGAATATCATCTTGTTGATACAGCTGTTTTTTTCTCTTGTACTATCAACCATAATCGAAAGTCGAAGACAAAATCTGGATTTTTGGTATAGCAATAAACTTTCCTAAGGCATCGGCCTCAAACCGGAAGTAACAGACTATCTTACTTTAGGATGTGTGTTCTACTCCTAGATAATGTAGTACTGATGTTTGAAAACTAATTCTAGGAAGATGCTTTTGAAATTTTGAGTTACTTATATTTTGATTAGCTTACAGCTTGAATTAAATTGTACTGAATTTCATCGCGAATTCAAATTATTCAACTTCATTTTGAAAATGGCTATCACAACCATTACTTCGCGGATCTGCGCTGCGCGGAAAGTAAAATCAATACACACACACGAGACAGCAGTTTCTACGTTATGCTTTTATCGGTACTATCCAGACATGCGTGAGATCCATATATGTGTGCCTCCAAGGGGGAGTACTATAATTCCGGTTTCAGCGGTTTAAAATATTTCACGAATGAACATTTTTCGACGCTTACTACGTTTTTTTCAAATTTTCATTAAAGACATAAAAGCCCGAGTGTATCGAAAGTATCCTGGTATCTCATCTCGGCCCACAACAAACTCGGACTATAATAAACTCGGCCTATTACATAATCGGCATCAGAAAATCGGACTATAACAAAATTCTTAATTATACAAAGTTTAGAGACATTGTTTTTGCTCAATTCTTATTATTTTTCTTCTTGGGGTCTATTTAGGGATATTTTGAGGAGCCAACAGAAGGGAGGGATTTACTATAGAACCCTATGGGATTTATTTGTTTTTAATTTTCAAATGACTATAGCTTGAAAACAGTAAGTGATAGACACACCCGGTTTTCAGTAATGATCACAGGACCATAAAACAAATCAAATGAAATATAGGTTGAGTCCCTGGGGTCACCCCACCCACCCCATTCTGTTTGAGAACTTGTAAACGGTCAAGATCCCCACCCCTAAACCATATATATTCTTGTATGGGGCAACAAAACAAATCAAATGAAATATAGTGGGAGTCCCTCTGGGTCAGCCCAAACCCCTCCCGTTTGAGAACTTGTAAACAGTCGAGATCCCCACCCCTAAACCATATATATTCTTGTATGGGACACTAAAACAAATCAAATGAAATATACGGGGAGTCCCAGGGTGTCACCCCCACCCCACCCTGTTTTGAGAACTTGTAAACAGTCAAGATCCCCACCCTGAAACCATATATATTCTTGTACGGGACAGGACAATAAAACAAATCAAATGAAACAAAAGGTGAGTCCCCTGGGGTCACTCCCACTCCCTTTCTGTTTGAGAACTTGTAAACGGTCGAGATCCCCACCCATAAACCATATATATTCTTGTATGGGACAACAAACAAATCAAATGAAATATAGAGGAAGTCCACAGGGGTCACCCCACCCCCCTTCTTTTTGAAAACTTGTAAACGGTCGAAATCCCCACCCCGAAACCATATATATTCTTGTACGGAACAATAAAACAAATCAGATGAAATAAAAGGCAAGTCCCCTAGGGTCACTCTCACCCCCACCCCCTTCCTGTTTAAGAACTTGTAAACGGTCGTGATCCCCACCCCTAAATAATAAATATTCCTGTTCATGATTTCAAAAAGATTTGAATGACATACAGGGGTAGTCCCTAGGCGTCACTTATGCATATCACTTTACTAGACCAAACCAATTTGTACTGGACTTTGCCCAATGTCAGGCGACTTTTCGGAATGACTAATTATGGGAGCTTTGTTTGGAAGTCTTCGTAACAGCATCCAATTATTTCTTGTATTAAGTATTTTTTTTTAAAGTCGGAAAAAAAGTTAACCATGCAATCTACACATTTACAACCTATTTGAAATATTACAATCTACCGTTGCAAACTTTCCACAGGTGTTATCCAGCACTTTGATTACATTTACCCATTGATGACATTACCAAGGGCTACGGATCGGTGCTAGCTAACATCAAGTAAAAACTATATTTTGAAAAATTAGGACAACGTATTATTAATAATACAATAAGCAGGTTCTGAAAGACTGTTAAGAAAGTGTGACATTTGGACTGTTCCTAAAAAAAGAGGGGCGTTTGAGTAGTAAGGGCAAAAAAACTTTTTGCGTATATTTAGTCATCCAGCAGAGCCGAACGGATTTAACGGACTGATTTGGGAACTCAATACGTTTCTTTAATCATATTTGAGGGGTGGCAATGCATCAGACTTATTCTGCATTTTAGTTGCAATTAAAAACCCAAAGAGCCAATATGTGAAGCAGAAACGGAGCACTCCGAATGATAATGTCGTCAGTCATTTCTGCTGATTGCTTTTTATCATTTTGTTGGAATGGTTTTTCAGCTGGACATGAAAAGTTCAAGCAGTCATGTTTTCTACATGTACAGTCTTATTCCAAAATTACCTACAATTCTCTTTTTTTTTGCCTTTCAGGGAACTGATATCTACACCATCATTATTATAATGTCAGTTTGTGTAGCAGTTGTAGTAGTTGTAGTAATTATCGCATTTGTTTTACGCATGCACAAGATTAAGTCGAAAGATGCACTGGTCAAAACTACAGCCATCTCAGATACTACAAAGACAGAAAAATTCAACGCTGAAATGATTTGTAAAAAACAAGAATGATCTGTCGTTGAACAATGATTAAATACAAAACTTGCTTGTCATATATAAAGTGACATAAACTGTAATAGTAATTTTAAGTGATCAATGCATAGCAATAGTTTTCAACTCTTGTAAATTCAGAATTATTTTTTTTTATTTATTAATGCGAATAATGTGATTGGGTTGGTATCATAGTAATAAGAACTTATATTCTGATATCTGCTGCATATATAATTATGGAGATTTTACTGAAATCGCAATAATGAATCTGGCATTTTTGTCTATTCTTCAAAAATCGCAATTATAAATGTACGCACCAATTTACAGTATTCCCACATTGCAGTCATTTGCCTAAGGTTCCTAACTATGTTTAATGTTAATTTACACATGTCTTGATAGAAATATATCTTTTGAATTAAGTTTTGAAAATATTATTCTACTTACTGGCATAAGCTGTATGGCTCAAGTCTACATTAACTGTGATATTGTATTGTGCCAAATTAAATTGACATATTAATTCCATATAAATTCTTGCTGTAATATAATTTACCAAATAAATAAGTTTTTTTACTTAGTCTTGCCGTAATGAATTTTAGTGACAGTTCAGTGTTTGTTGGTTGATTCTTGTATTTTGTTGGTTTATTTCTTGTATTTTGTTCGTTGATTCCTTGTTGTGTGTTGTGAAAGTCCCAAGACAGACAGTTCATGCATAATCAGCACAAACAAAAATAAATCAAATTCAAAAGCTATGCAAATTCGACCAGGAGGACGGGCAGGAAATTTGCGCAGACATTGCATAGTGAAGAGGATATAATTTATCTATGCCACTGCACGTTGACAAACATTTAAAACTATTTGTATGTGGCCTGTCGCAGGACAAAATGTCTGTCTTTATCCAACATACCAGTGTCTTCTAGTGACAGCTCATATTCCTCTCTCTTTGTCCCTGTCGTCACACAATGACAAAGTAACAATTACCTGAACATGATGAAAAAAATGTTTTACACAAAATCAGTTATTAATTTCTATAGTTTTCAAACCATAGGCCAACAAAAGAGCTGTTTTTTTTATCTAGGGACCACCAATACAGATTTGGATCAACAAATTAGAAGATTGTTTAGAAGTTTGCAAACTAATCAAAAGGCAAACGGCAGAGCGTAGTTTTTGATGCATCATCAACACTAGCAGCTTAAAATACCAGACCCATGGATACCTGCAATTTGGAAGTATTGTTAATCTGGTACAAAGTATCAGTTTCAGTTTTGAGAGTCCACTCTATATCAATTGTCTCGTGCGACTTCAGACAAAGTTCAACTGTTATCAAAGCTAAATTTAATCAGTGCTGAAATTGAACTAAATTTTCTTCTTTCATGATTTGAGTCAGACGACAAAGACTGGAAAACACATAAAAAGTCACTGGAACTAGCTCTTGCAATATAAGATCGTACTTGTACTGCGCTATTACCGTTCACAGTCTTTGTAAAGTTCAAAAATGTGTGGTTAAGTTTTTGGGATATGAAGTGAGTTTCATTTTCCCGTAAATTAGCTAACCGAGACAAATCCGTTCGTGATGCGCCACCTTGTGGTAAAAACACGCTTTTTCAGACAATAAGTTCTTCAAAAATTTAATACTTTGAATACATTTAATAGCTCTATAGTTTTTACACATTTCTTCTAGTGTCCTCTTCTTTCTCAAATCAATACAAATCGGTAGGCGGAGTTACTTGGTAAAATAGAAACATTCCCAATATCACTACACAAAGATGTTTTGTTTACGCGAAACTTTTGAGTTCCTCAATTAGAGGCACATTAGGGATATTTTACGGGCTTCCCTTTTTTAATTTATCTTGGCGTTTGCAATATATTTCATTATACTTTATATAGCCAAGGTTGACAATGTTTTTTCGAGGGGTACCAATCTGCTCTATCACCCTCTCAGCTATGTGTTATTTAATTTATTATACTGAATGTCCTATCATTATTGTCTTTTACAGATTGATATGATTTTAAAACTATTTTCTATGATGTCACGTACATAACAACGTTACGGGTATTAGAACAAACAACATAAGTGAGACAAGATGTTTTTTTTTATTTTGACAGTCAAATAATAAAACCTAAGCCAAAACGTAGAACTGAAGCATTATATTTAATTACTTGATGTAAATTCAATTCAATGGCCTTTAAATTATCGATTTTTGATTGGTCTGGATGAGAGGGTGACATTCAAAAAAAAAATGTCACCCTCTCAGTCATGTGATAGAGTAAATTAACACCTTCGTATTAGTCAATCAAAATATGGCATTTTAACGTGAAGTATAATACAATAAAAGATCTTGAAAGTGAAAACAAAAACAGGTAATGAAAAAAATATAAATAAAACAAACTAAATTAAAGGTTGTACATGATTTAGGTTAATGCCTTAATAATAATTATAAAATCAGTATACATGTCAACAAGGAAGTGATCTTTTAAAGCAGTATACATTTGAAACATAATAACGGTTTACAATTATGATTCTTTACCTATATAATAGCTGTAATTATATTTTACATGGACATTTAACTGCACCTATGCATTTTTCTATTGAATATCTGTTTTATCTTTCATTAAGTTGATATATCTATTGATTTATTTAATATTTGATAGAAAAAATAATCTGGAAAGTGAAAACAAACACGAGTACTGAAAAAAGTATAAATAAAACAAAAGGAATTAAAGGTTTTACGTGATTTAGCTTAATGCCTGAATAACAGGCAAATGGGTAATGCTAATTTGTAATTGTAATGCATGGTAATGCATTACATTTTTCCAACTAATTGCATGTAATGTGTAATGCATCAATTCTTGCATTACATGTAATTGTAATTTAATGCATTACCTGAAAAAAAACTGTGTAATTTCATGCATTACATTGCATTACATGGCATTACTTTTTTTCACATACTATATATCGATCTTTAACAGATTGTTTGAGATTTAGCTAAAGCAGAAGCAGGAAGCAGATTTGTGGACTAATTAATCATTTGAATATTGATTTCTTTTATTTGAAAAGCATCACTGTATAAGTATTTTATTTTTGTCAAAACATCAATGAATACCTTGTCATGATTAAATAACCGGAAAATTGACCATTGTCATAAAACACTAATTAGTTTGTTTTACAATCAATCTTTTCACCACTTTGACACTTGGTCATAAAATAATCTCTTTGTTTATTATTTAATTAGGAAAGAAATTCTCAGTAAATATTTTGATTGGAATTAATAAAACAAATGTATATTTATAAAAAGTGAAGTTTACATTAGTTAAATTAAATATTAAACTTCATCTTTTTTTTAAAGAAAACACAGAGATGTATACCTTGAAAATCTTATGATGTTAAAATGAAATAGTTGTATTAAATAGACATTTTACTTGATATATATATACTTAAATTCAATATGTATAAGGAACAGTTATTGAATATGATAGAATCTTTTGTGACTTCATCTTAGTTGTTTTTCAAATGTTTGATTTTCTCTCTCTTAATATTAACATTTACAAATGTAATGTGTAATGCAATGCATTACTTTGCAAAAGTAATTGTAATGTAATGCATTACTTTGATAAATGCATGTAATTGTAATTGTAATTTAATGCATGGTTTTGTCAAAGTAATTGTAATATAATGCTTTACATTGCAATGTAATTCGCCCCATGCCTGCTGAATAATAATTATAAAATTAGTTTAAACTACCATCAAGGAAGTGATCTTTTTGAGCAGAAAACATTTGAAACATAATAACGGTTAACAAATATGATTCCTTACGTATATAACAGTAGCAGTTATATATAACATAGACATTTAACTGCACCTATCCATGTTTCTATACAATACAAACCTGTTTTATCTACCTTTTATTTTATATATCAATTGATTTATTGAATATTGAACACTGAGCTATTTCAATGTTTTAAAAATAAACATGTATTAGGAAGTGATATGAATTATGTCTTAAACACTTTAATGTATTTAACGACTGGACCTTTGCCATAAACGAGAGAACGAGATTGAATTTTGGTGACAGCTAGTTAGGATATTATTAGCTTCCATAAAGTCGGTTGATGTAACTGCATGCGAATATGTATGATTATATAATGTAGATAGCAATATACTGTTTGTATAATCGCAAGAACTTAAAAATGATTTATATTAGTATCATAATTATAGCTGTTTTGATATGTATCGAACTGACCGGTGGTTTCTTTGCAAGAACATTTCGAGATGGAAACTGGAGGACTAAAAGCCACTTAGATATAACAGCAACGGGAACACTTCGAGCGATTAGCAAATATATCAACGCGAATAAAGGAGGATCTATAGAAGATTTCTTTCGTGATGGTAAGACAACCTTGATTTCTTTACTTATAGTTATTTGCTACTGACTATTACAGCTTTTTCTAATGTCACACTGTTACACCACTGTCTCATGTTAGGGTAAAGGTTCAGCGCTCACAAACATGTTTAACCTCACCACATTCTTTATGTGCATGTTCCAAGCCAGGCGCAATCAGTGATTGGCGTTGGTTTATGTCTGTGGTATTTATTTTTCGTTATCTGTTTGTTATAAATAAGTTGAATAGCTGTATTCAATGTTGATAAAACATCTGCATATACGCGGGAATAGATGGAGGTCATGCATTGCTGTATTAGTTAATCATTAGACATTATTCTCTATTCTTTATATTTAGCACCTCACTTTTTCCTGTATTTTATAACTTTTGGTAATTTTGTTTGATTTCATATTGCTTAGCCGTTTATTCTAAAATTCAGAACGGAAATGAGGAATATGTCAAAGAAACAACAACCCGACCAGAGAGCAGAAATGGGTCTTCAACGCAGCGAGAAAATCCCGCACCCGCAGCCTGAGCTGGCCCCTAAAATAGATTGGTACTAGTTCAACGAAAATGAACGTCACAATAACCTAAAAAATATATAAATGAACTAAAATAAAAAAAGACATACAAGACTAACAAAAGCCAGAGGCTCCTGACTTAGGACAGGCGAAAAAATGCGGAGGTAAACATGTTTTGTGAGATCTGAACTCTACCTCTATACCTCTAGCCAATGTACAATAAAGAAACACATAGCAATACGCACAGTAAAACTCAGTTTAAAAGAAGTCCGAGTCTGATGTCAGAATAGGAAACAAAAGAAACTAAGCAAAATGACAATGATACACGAAGGAACAAAGGACTACTAGCAGTTACTGACATGCCAGCTCCAGACCTCAACTAAACTGATTGAAAGATTATGTCTTCATCATATTCTGCACTTTTTGCAAACTATTTTTTATTCTGTTAACCCCATCAAGACCCTCATATGTGTTCATTCATGCAAAGATTGAGCATTATCGACATCTATTGAATTGCACTTAAAAATATGTTTTAGATGGCGCTTTTTACATACATTAAGGTACTATGAGGTTTTGCCCCGTATCACAAGACTCACGCATGCGACTTTGAAATAAAGTTGTGAAATTGAGGCCCCTTTGCTTTAGGTTTGGAAATGTTCGTGTGTGTCACGCTGTAATATACTTATATTTTCTTTTTTCTTTTGAAAGAAAACCAAGAGAAAACATTATACTATTAACTGTCATCAAATCTGTTCAAAGATTAATACATTTATAACTTGAAACATTTTGACTTACATCTTGAAAAAAGAATTCGAGGAACCCGTGCATGACCCATTTGGTGTTCATTTTAATCTGTTGGGTGTTTTATTGTGTTTTTTATTGGTAAGAATTTGTGACTTTACCTTGAATGAAATCTAGAGTCTAAAACATCTGTGAATAAATCAAACTAATACTACTATATATCGTTTTAACGTTTGTTTTTACACTTAACACTCACATACAGAATATATTAAAATATGTTGATTTTTGCTATTAACATAGATTTACACTGTATGTAACAATTATCCCAAGATTTTGCATACAAAATCTACTTCACTTATATTCAGATCAGAATGGCAAGCATACAATGATGACGAAAGTATCTGCATTGAGAAAGGCAGTTGCTGATACACAGGAGAACAAGAAGGATACAGCTTATATTCACTGTCACGCTGATCAAATCTTTCTCGGTAAATTTTAAATAAAAAGCAGTTCATAGTTAGTCTCCTTATAGTATATGTCCTTTATCTTATACATAATTCATACTGTACACCAATTGTAAGGGCTACTGCCCCACACAAGTGATTTGTTCTTTAATTTAAATTGAAAAGACTATATCGTTGAAAATATTAATAGTCAAGAGTTGAATGTGATATCACATTACGTTCTTTTTATTCGCATAATGAAAGCAAATCATGTAAATATGAATAATTTCTGAAAAATCATTGAATTTTGACGAACTTGTAAAATATTAAAACATATTTTTTGGGAGAAAACTAAAGCCTTTCAGAAGTATTAAAAAAGAAAGAAAAGACATGCTATTTTCTCTTTTCTTGTAGCACAGATAACCAATAGACACTGTGAAAATGAAATATGTGACTAATAATTCAAGCACCAAACAATATAAATGTAAATTAAATTTAGTTAACCATAAACATTTCACTTCCAGTCTTATAATATATATACGACTTGAAAGATACTCGATAGATTGACAAGTGCCAATTTCCGCAAAAATATCTTTTAGAAACTTCAATAATATAATATTGTTTTCACAATTTATATATACTACTAGCAGTCACTTGTTATTGTTTGTCACTATCACGTGATTTGTTTTGATTCCAGCGCATAACTTCGTGAAATCTTGTAAACAGAAACTGATTGCGCGAAAAGATGACCTTGACGAATTCATAAAACTGCTGGGTGAATGCCTCTATACTATACAATCATTCTATAGTAATACGAACTGGGTGGAAATGTATGGCAGTGTTGCATATGAAGATTTTGGTAAATATGAGGAAAATAAGATGTTGGTTAAAAGTTAATAAGACATGAGCACAGCAAAATCTACAAGGTACCACAAGCATTGTGTTCATGAACATCTTCATTAATGATTTGATTGTCAGCATATAATAGGAAAGAACCGAACATCACAGAATCGGTACAAAATTTGTATGATTCTCGTCAAAATAGGCACTGCGTAATTAATATGAATGACATATTTGTCATCGGATCAGGACATGCATTTTGAAATCTGAAACACATGTCTAAATATTAAGAAGTTACTTGAAATTGTTCTGAACAATAATGTCTGAACAAATAAAAAAAATTCCACATCTTACTATTCAAATTACCACACACCCTCACATCATGTTTTATTTTTATAACAGGAATAAATGATTTAATGGACGTAGCGGCCTTGGAAGAAGACACCTGTTTAGACAATGCGGATTACAAGTAAGCAAAACGTTTATCAGAATAAGATAGACAAGGAAGTACGGGAATTAAATGTTAAAATAAATGTCGATAGATGTTATCGATTACCTAGCAGGAATTTATTTAAATACCTTATGTGTATTTACCTGAATTAAATGCAAAGCTGACATTCAAATAAATAATAACCGAAAGAATATGAGGATGAAAAAGACTAACTGTTGTTAACAGAACGGTATCGTAGTGTTATAAATGTTATCGATGATTTAGCTTGAATAACTCATGTGTACGTATTTACTTAAATCAAATGGAAAACGGACATTTTTGTAAAATTCTGGTATAATTATATGTCTCATATTTCAACAAATATTTTGAAATAGATTTGAAAGATAAGAATTGTTTAATGAAAGAAAATCCAAATACAAAATGAGAAATATAAGATTACAAAAAATATATTGGTTGTTGTAAAAGAAAATGTAGGTACACTTTATTTTAACACTCTCTGAGGTTAATTAAGGACTTGAATCTTCGGACGATAATTTTATATGATTATCATTTTCGGGTTTGTTTGTTGCTTGCTTTGTTTAAAGCTTTGATTTATTAAGAATGAAGAGTTTTCTGTTTGTAAGAATCTTTATCGGTTCTAATGTTTACATATCTAAAAATAGATACTTGAATCACCCAGCAACCCAACCCACATATATACAGTAAACAGACACGGAATTAAGGACCTTTAATTAAACACAAATATCAATTGCAACAACAAACTTGACAAATCTTTAAAAAAACAAACACAAATAGAGGTTACGATGTTGGAAAGTCATATGAGGCAATTATATGTGGCCTTATAACCCTTATATTTCGATCTTAACCCTCACCCTTTTAAATGCAACCAGTAGTTCACTTACAAAAGGTCTTTAGAGATTAACGAGTAATAAGTAAGTAACAATAGAGTAAGTATTAGCACTTGCCGATGTTATCCCGCAACCCTCAAAAATGTATTCAGCAGGAGCGGCATTAACTGGTTCATAGAGTATATTCTTTTGTTGTAAATCCTATTTTACTTTTTTTTTAACTTGAGATGAGCTTTTGGGACATTTCATACTTTCCCCTCCTTTCATTTAATTGTTGATATTCTTGTTGATGTTAGTTCCGAATGTAAGAACAACATACGAGTGAATGGTAAACTGACCAGTGGATACCATCACAGAAGAGGCAATACCAAACCTGCAAGTAGGTAACCTTTTGATTCCGTTAACTGTATGCAAACTTAGAGAATAACCTTATATGGTATCCAATATCTCAGTTTATAAGATATCATATAAATTTTAATGAGATGGAGGTTATAATATCTTTTGACAGACAAATGTGATTATTGCAGATTGATTTATACTCATTGAACGCACATATGATATCAGACAATTAAACGGATCAATCAATTAAAAGTTTTAACCGCTCGTTCGATATTAATAATGCTAAAAATATAATAATTGTAGAATTCGACTATAAATTAAATATATTTTCAAATATAAAAAAGTGTGACTTTTCTAATTATTATATATATGAAAATTAGATGCTTTTATTTTAAAATTTGAATTAAAGATCTTAACTCTAAGTTGCTTTTATTTTGAAACTGATTATTTCTGTATTTCTATTTAGAAGCAATTGGTTCATCAACTGGTAAATGTAGTCATGGAGGTCCTGACGATGACAGCAGAAAACTTGTGGCTAGATGTGGCATCAATAAGGACTCAATTACTCCTGAGTGGTCACCACATTCTCATTTACACAAACAAGCATATACGGCCGCTGTCCAGGCTACAGAGAACTTCCTTGTAGCTAATGGTCAGTGAAATAACATCCATTTAATCACTTTTAAATGGTATGATGCGTTCAGTTTAGCTTTGCAATTGACTTTATAATGATTAAAATATATTCTCTTTTGGAAAGTTTTAACTGATTGCACAATTATATAAAAGTGTATTGATGTTCTATTTTAAAACGTTTTGTAAATTTGTAAACTCATGAACAGGCATGGTTAACAATCTTATTATGTTTATCAATAAAACGTAAAATATGTAGGATATGTACATACAAATGCAAATAAGACAACAACTAATAATACACACAAAAAACCATAAGAAATGTCAACATATTATGGTCTACGGTGAGTTAATTCGACAATAGACAGGTTTCTTTGCAATATGCTTTAAGTCATTTTTCACTAAGAACCTGTATTAAACTTCATGGTATTTTTTAAGGTATTGTCACTATTAGAACACCTTCGGGTTTATCTGGAAGGTTTTATCCATCAGGAAATTTGGTGTTGCTGAGAAATCTTCGATATCCTCTCTGTATTTATTCACAAGTCCGATTTTGAGCTTTATTTATGTACCAACATGTATACTTTTCTTGTGTATTTTCGTTGCATTGAAATCTCCTTTAATCCATCTTTTGTGTTGTGTAAATATAAAGACGTGTAGCAAAGTTCTTCTATTGATATGGCACTCAATAAAGGCAACAGGAACATTAAAATCATACGTCGAAAATAACACCATCTCAAATAAAAGCAAAGACCAAAAGACAAACAACAGTATACAAAACACAATATAGAAAACTAAAGATTGAACAACAGGAACCAGGGCCAACCTAAATCGGTGATGATCGCAGGTGTTACGGAAGGATCGATAAGCCGATTCTGCTCCACATGTGACACCCGTAATTTTGTTCATATAAGTATAAACCTTTGCATGAAAAGATGTAAGTCTGAAATAATAATTATATTCTTACTTTGTCGATATATATTATAATTGTAGTCTGGTCTGGTTTGTTTTTCCTTGAACAAAGGGGCAGTGTTCTATGTTTTTGAACTGCAAAAGCCTTTCCTATCCTACATTTCGTTGATTGTCACTAACTTTTATACAAACATTTCGATAAAAAGGGCGGTTTCAACCTTGACCAAGATCTATCAAAGCAAAATGCTGTTACTTTCATTATTAACTTTTTGTCTAGAAACTGGAGTGTTATACACAATTGGACCAACAATATTTGAAGACGTATTTCATGTTAAAAGACGGATGGATATGACTCTAGCTATGGCAATAGACTATACTGGTTCGATGACAGACAATATTGATGATGTCAAAACAAAGGTGACAGAAATGTTAACAAATACCGTAGGATCTTCCAATGAGCCTGCTGATTATGTTCTATCTTTATTTCATGATCCAGGTAGGCACTTGTTTTATATTTTGTTTTGATATTTTGTCTCTACAATTAGTAGCGCTGTGAAATTGGGAAAATGAATACAGTGTCCTTATTTTGCTGTACTTAGGTCCTTAGATCTCATACCATGTATATTGTTTTTTTTACCTATGCCATAATAGTTAATGAACACAATGAAAAGAAAAAAATACTTACCGGCATCTTTTGTTCATTTTGTTCATTTTTAGTATGATTGTATATAACTTTATATATTAATTGTATGTCCTTATCGTAGTCCAAACAATCATGACGTCTGTAAGGCCTTTTAAATTTCAAGGACAGCGAAGAAAAAATTGTATCATCTGTTTTTTTGAATATTCTACTACCTGTTGGTCAATATATTGTTGCAGCTTTGCATAATCATATTTTCATTTTCAGAAAGCTGGAATTTAGCTTATAAGTACGTCGATGGGTATGAAATGATAAACAAAGTTCAAACTATCGAATCAATTAGTGGTATTAATCCAGATTGTCCTGAATTCGCAGCAGCAGGGATGTTAGGAGGTATATAAATGTTAGCCTGATTTGATTACATTCACGTTATTTGGGCATTGTTGGATTATTGTCACATTGGCAATAAGACCTGACCTCCTTATATTATATCAGATATAGAAATACTGTTTTAGTGATATCAAATAAAGTAAATGTTTCCTCTAATATGAAACTTTATTTTTTATATTTTATTTAGAAAGTACTGTTGAATAAAACAAAAATCATGTTCTCTGAGGAAAAGTGTATCTTCAATCACAAAATGAAGGGAAAATACATAAAACCTTATGTATAACAGAAATGTATAAAGCAGTTGTCATTAATATTGACCGAAATTGTCCTTGTTATCTGTTATTTGGTGGAGTTAGTAAATGATTTTCATTTCAGTTTGTTCTTTGTGTTTTTTTTACGTTATGAGGGACCAAAGGTTAATGATATATTTCGTGCCCAATAGACTTTAATAAAACACAACATTATTTATCATGTTTCACAATCTGGTTATTTCCTTCTGAACATGAATATTGTTTTTACTGTTTGAATTATATCTTCGCTTGTACACATTAACACATTATTTTAGGGAAAACACATTTTGCAAATGTTTTCTGTCAGTTAACTGATTATTAAGTAATTCTGAATTTGTGGACTGTTTATTCGGGTTTGTGATATACCATGCGTGAAAATAATGATATCGTTTCGTTTGCACAGCAATAGAACTGATGAGAGATGATTCACCTCTATATGTATTTACGGATGCAGACGCAAAAGATGCTGACCGCATGCAAGAAGTCATTGATGCAGCCAAAGCAAAGAATATCTCAATCACATCATTACTAACCGGTCAGTGTGCTCGAAGAAAACGATCAGCATTAGGTTTGTATATTTATGATAAGAATAAAAATGGGGTAATCATTATATGCTGTTTATTTATAAACAATTGAATGCATTTGTCCCAATTGGCATGCCTATCTCTGAAATTAAAATTAACATTGTTCAAACATTTCAGAGTCATTGTACACAGCATATAAATGTTCAAATCCAACATATTTGTTTCAGGTTTCCCTACTCCGCTTATCGACCGACATAAAACTTAACTAAGCAGAATACATGATATAGTTCTGAATATTTAAACAATATAAGAATGAGACAATTCTCCACAACAAAATACCAACTGACATAGACGTTTACAACTAAAGGTCATCGTACAGCCTTCAACAATGAGCAAAACCCATACAACATAGCTTTTACAGGCCCCTAAACGACATATGTAAAACAATTCAAACGAGAAAATAAACGGCATGATTAATGAACAAAATAATGAACGAAAGTTTTATATGATATACAAAAAAAAAAACGTCAATCACTGATTAACAGGATCCTGAATCGGGACATGTACCTACAGAAAATGACAGTCTTAAGTTAGTTTGACGGCGTCAACCCTCCTCTAAAATGGCTCTAACCTGGGACAGTGGTGTAACAGTACAACATAAGAACAAACTATGAGTGAGTTGAAAAGAGCTTAATGTTTTGTCTTTGCACAAAACAAAAACCTCATCAGACGCTGGTTTTTCTCCACATTACTCATCAGTTGCGCTCAAAGGACAACAACAAGAAGGCCAATATCATTAAGACAGTTGAAGAGCATTTAAAATAAGAAGACAAATGTTTTGCCGAATCTGGTTTCAGCTTAAGCTTTCTATGGACGAATGTTAAAAACCCTCCTTTTTTTCGAATTAACTTCTAAAGTTTTATGAACAGCAAATTCACACAAAATGATGTATCAAGATATGTCATGTAAGTAAAAGCTGTCATCAATAAATCTATCAATTCTAAATTATCCTTTACCTTTACATAATTGAACTAATGTTAAATCAGCTTTAATGTTTGATAAATTTATTCTGTTATTTTAGGTCGGCATGAAAGGTCTGCATCATCATTGTCATTTTTCCAACAAATAGCTGAAGCAACGGGTGGAAGTGTTTTTGAAACGGACAAAGAAAACATTGGAAATGTCCTAGACACTGTTATAGGGGTAAAATCGAATTCCGTTTAGTTATTTTGAACAAAGCTACACGTAACATTATGAATTCAGTGGTAAGAACTCAAGACCAGTTTGTAAAAATAAAGAATATTTGTATGCTTGACATGCAGTTTTTCTAATGTTATTATAGTTTTATATAACGAAAAAGACCGAAAGGGTTTAACAAAAATGCTGGTAACTTGATTTCTAGAATCTGATATTCATTTGAAAAATAATTAACATTTTCTTTAATATTGTAGGAAACATTTCCGTCCAGTGAAATAATAATAGACTCGTTTGACTGGTCTTCTGCTGAAACTGATGACCAAAATATAACCATTGATAGTACGATCACAGTGCTCAAGATAAGTGTAACTGGATCATCTGCAGAAACAGATGCAGATATATATTATGCTAATGGTACGTAATATTTGAAGTAAGTTTAAGTATAAGTGTATTTACCATTTGAAAGTAATTGTGCTATTTTTGAAGATGGAAGTACAACTTGTGTTTTGAGTGGCAGACTTAAAATAAGTACCGTGATCATTTAGTAGAAGATATCTCAGCTAGCCAGACCCACATTTTTCAGATGTGGCTGATAAAGACAGTATTCCTGTAAACAGCGTAGTGTCATATACATGATATAGCGTCAGATAGAATCGCGCCCTCTTCGTTTACTTCTTAAATGACTAATGACAGCACTTGTATTCAGAGGTGTAAACACGACTTTGTCCAATGTTTGATCGTCTTTACAAATTTCGTAAAGCAGAAACCGCATATATATACGTTGACTATCAACTGTTGGCCGGAAAGCAAAACAGACTTAATTCAATTAGACAATAAAGAACTTCAAAAGAATTACTAAGGCGTTTGGTTATTTGGATGCTCTCTATCTTCAAAGTCAAATATTATTAGTTACATAGTGCGCTAGTGACCTAATACGGTATATATGGAATTTACTGACCCCATATATACCGTATTACGTCACTAGCACACTATGTAACGAATTTATCTTACCGACTATCTTAACGTGTGAATTTTAAACTAGTGACCTATCAAAATGAGCAAGTCTTCAATACCGTTAGCATTAAGAAACTACTTCCATTGATCCTACAAAAAAAGATGCCAACAATAACAACTTGTTAGCTCTAAATGTGTTTTATAAATTTATTTCAATCTTCATCATCAATTTTTTCGTCTGTTGAAACCTTTAAGATTTTTTTCTCAGTACCGTTTTGTTTTTATAAAGGGACGTAACACCACTACTTATCGTGTATGAAATAAGCACCGCCTCCCTACTAACCTAATATGGAATATACACGGTCTCCACGCGGACGCTTTTAACCAATCATTTTTCTAGAAATGTATAGGAGGTAAGATAAATCTATATCTTCATATCTTTAATTTTTGCATGCTTAAAGTGTAAATTTTACTGTAACATATATAAAAGCTACACAGTACATATAATACAACGGTAAAATGATCCATGAAACATTATTTACAATTATGACAAAAGGTAAAACTACGCAATAATCCCGTAACGTATCTCCCGGAGAAAACGAGTTCATCCCTGGTATTTGGTTATCAAATCTGCAGTTTTCTATGAAAACTTTTGTGAGTGGTTGCTTGTCTTTCACTCGTATTTTTTGGGCATTGTTTGATATGTTTTCAGTCAGTTGTTGTCTGTCTTTTGGTATCTTCTCTCTCTCTTAATAGTTAAGCAATTCGAAGTACAACGGCATAAAAATCCAATAGATACAACTGCAAATTTGGTATGTAAATGATATAAATAATTAGTTGTTTGCAACTTCAAATTAAAAATTATTTCAAGTATATCCATGGATGTGTACATTTACATGATATTCATTGGTATGATTTTAAGAAGTGGACAAACCTGCTGATGAATTTGAGAGGATACAGGATTCCCATTTATCGAAAACTTTGTTGACTATTTGTTTCTTATTAGCTATTCATATTTATATATTTTTTTAACGTCATTCATGTTGGTAACCTGTGGGAGCTTGTATTTTTAGTTTTGAATTTCATAATAGGTACATTGGAGACATTCACATCTGGAAAGTCAACAAGAATCTATACCTCATCAGGCGAAACCATTATATCAATCCAGGTATAATATCAAATATGTACATATGAAGTACCCTGAAATATTAAAGTACTAGCCAGTGTAAAACCCAAAGTAAGCAATAGAAAGTAAATATTACGGAAACTGCCACCCAACCAAAGGGTTATTACAAAATACATTAAGAGGTCATGATACTTACCCTTTAAGAGACAAGTGTATATACCACAAACTCTCAGCCATTATAGGTCTTTACTAATTCAGGTTGTAGGTACAATCTACAGACCAGAGACCATAAAAAGACAACCACAAATATTAACTGAATTGCTCAACAGGAACACGTTAACAGCAATTTGATCTGTTAGAATTGAACTCGCTGGTACTATCTCGATCTATGAATGAACATGACAATTACATTTTTATTGCCAATATCTAACAAATATCTGTCAAAGTGAACAAAGTATTAAAAAGTTAAAGCAATGCAAAACGTTTATATTTGGAAACTGAAATGTCAATATTGAGATGTAAAACCCACACCAAATACTATTACACATATTTTTATTCATTTTCCCGAGATGAATTCCACCTGTTTTTGCTGGGATTCGTTTTGCTTAAAAAATTGAAAACAACACGTTTAATAATTTCATGCGTCCGAAGCGCTTTTCTGGATTTACCTTCATCATGAACGCTCAATGCTAAACATTTGAAATCCGAGGGATGTATAAGTACCGAAACAGTTGAAGAGCTTTATGACAAATAAAGGCAACAGTAGTATACCGCTGTTCGAAAACTCATAAATCGATAGAGATAAAAACAAATCCTGGTCACAAACTAAAACTGAGGGAAACGCATCAAATACAAGAGGAGAACAACGACACAACAAAAATACAACACCAAAATGTAACACACACAGAAACGAACTATAATATAACAATGGCCATCTTCCTGACTTGGTACAGGACATTTTAAGAAAAAAATGGTGGGTTGAACCTGGTTTTGTGGCATGCCAAACCTCCCGCTTTTATGGCATGTTAAAACACAACACCAAAACGACAACATCACATGACAGGACCACAATACAAATAAATGGGAGAACATATAGGACAAAGAAACACACGAATAATAGCTAACAAAAGGTACTATGCTTAAAATTCAATACGCCAGACGTGCGTCTCGTCCACACAAGACCAACCAGTGACGATCAGATGAAAAAAGTTTGAAAGCCAAAACAAGTACAAAGCTAAAGAGCACCGAGGACCAAAACTTCCAAAGAGTTGCGCCTAACACGGCCATGGTTTTTTAAAACCTAAAACAAAAAGCCAAATTCATCTAAGGTCTGAGGGAGTTGAAACCTTAGTTTCTTTATAATTTCAAAATATATAAACGGACAATTTTAGAAAAGTTTGTTATAAATCATGTCAGTACCGACGTAATATATCAGTTTTCTGTGAACATTTTCGAAATTTACTATTTTTTTTATTGTTGTGAAACAGTTTACACGGTCGTGTTCTAACGCGCTCGTGCTTGCCCAATTCTAACGCAGGATGTAGAGCGTACTTCAAATACTACTAGTACACATAATTTAATTAATATTAGTAACTGAATTCATTATGTGTTTACTGGGATTTAATTTGGCTTAATTATTTTGTTTTCTATGACACCTTTCGATCGCTAAGACTATTGTTTTTATCCTTATTGGTCGTAATACAGTCGAGTATACACGGTTGTGTGAACTTGGATTGCTTTTTGCTGTTTCTTTGGCAGGTACACGATATTTATGTCTCTTTGTATTGTTCACACATCAATATAATCGAATTGCATGTTGCTTTCATACAAGTGAGAGGTTTTTCTAGCTATAAAACCAGGTTTTATCCACCATTTTCTACGTAAAAAATGTCTATACCAAGTCAGAAATATGACAGTTTTTATTCATTCGTTGTTGTGTTTGAACTTTGATTTTGCCATTTACTTAGGAAATTTCCGTTAAGAATTTTCTTCGGAGTTTGGTATTTTTTGTTTACCTTTTTTTTTTAAGTAGTGAAGGTTATTTTATAGAAAACAAAGATAACACGTCGGCTTTGTATAAACATATTTGGTTGAGCATAAATATGTAAAAGAACTTGACAGCAATAAAATTCAGCATTATGTATTTAGCATCCTCCAGGTAGTATCATGAAACTTAGAAGGAATGTAATCAACGATTGGAAGGTGAATATTACAGCACAGAGTTCTATCAAGGTTGACGGTGAACTTTTGGAAAAATCAGATACTGGTGTGATGGTTTCGCTGAAAGGCAGTCCAATTTCGGGTAACTATTTTTTCAAATAGTCTTATCTACCATATTAGTTTTCATTTTACTAAATGTTTTTTACAATTTTACTAATTTGTGTTGTTGAGGAATGGAAAACCGATTTTGTTCAAAGGCGAATGCATTTTTGGGGAATATGAACTAAGGAAAAGATTTTTGCCCACCATAAACAGCTTGCTATCAAAATTATTTGGCTGATAAAATACTAACAAATTCAATATTACACAAGATGTGGTATATGTAGTTTTTTCCTTTTCGTTGCAAACTCTGAAATGGATGTAAATTGAAGAAACGATTGTCACTGATACATGTTTTTTTGTATTTATTAATTCCTAATATTCACCATTGTTTCACAGATAACAACTATACTGTTGCTTTGTCTGTGTATGGCTTTGGATCAAATGGTTCATGTCACTCCATTGCATTGGCGGATAGTACCGGAAATGTTATATCGTCACACGAGGCTTCACAGTTGCAACGAGGTCTCGATACGTTGTGTGCTGCAACTTTCAGAACGCCACATGCTGTAAGTGTATTTTGAAGTAACGAAATTTACCTCAGAATAAAAATCTAAGAAATATAACCATTGGTCTGTTTTCATGTTTTACTTTAGGAATTAAATATTATACGAATGAACGATGTATTGAAACTTCTCATGAAATGTTCTCATTCCTTGTCCGTGTTTATCTTTACTTTTAGTTTTTAGTGATTTGATCAGTTCTTCATAGTTTTTTCAAGGTTTTTGATTTTTAGATATATTCATATATATATGGAGCACCATTTGAGTCATTAATTGTCAAAATGTGCACAATTGGTACTGTTAATTTTATTAATCTTAGATTTGGTAGCATTTTTTTTTTAGGAGTTCATAAAATATATCCTATTCATTTCAGAAATTCCAAGTTAAACTACATGGAAACGACGATAGTGGAAGACCATTCACAAGGAAGCTCTCGGAACTATACAAACCTGCAAGCGTTGAACTAGTTATTACAGCATCAACTGGTATGTATATCAGTTTCAGAGGGGAGAAGTTGCTGGTGTGTCTCAACAAACACATTTGAATAATGACGTCCGGTTGGAGTTTATCCATTCAATGATCCATTATACGCATCCCATATTTTTATTTCGTAAGAAAATCGTAACCGATTTATATATTCCTTATTGTAAGACACACACTATGTGATACAGTATTAATATTTACCAGATTGGATCATTCATACGATATGATGAAAAGATCAGTACATAGGTTTTAATAATGAACAGCTCCAGTGGAATATAAGTTCTAGAGGGTATCATCAACTCAGTAGTCAGTACTTCGGTACTGATATGATTTTTAACGAACTGTTCTAAAATTGTCAATTTATAAATTTAGAGATGTTAAAGAGTCTAAGGTTTGACATCGTTAAGGTAACATTAGCATTAGATGCTTTTGGTTTTTTGGTTCCTATACATCCTTGACTTTCAAATAATCGGCTTTGAGTGTTCCTGATGTAGATAAAAAGCATTTCGAACGCATGCTATCTTATAATATAAGATTTATACGTATTTTTTGTTAAATCTGTTGTTTGTCATTTTGTCTTTTTTTTGTTTTTTCCTTTGTGTTGTTGGTTTTTCTTTGACTAACACATTATGTTTTTTTCCCTTAAGTATAATCTTTCCTTTTACAGATTCATTATTTTTCTCTGCGGATTTGTTTTCTCTCTATCGATTTGTGACTTTCGAACAGCGATATACTACTGTTGCCTTTATTGACGTGATATCGCGGTGGCATACTCGAGTAGGTGTGGGAGATCGTTGTTTCGATCCATGATGTGGTCAAACCAAAGACTTCTGAAATAAATAGAATAGATTGGTTGACTCGGAGTCCTAATTATGTTTTCGGATGATCTAATGATATACTCCCTGTGTCGTTTTTTGTATCCAATTGATGTGTTAAGTTTACCAGTGTAGTTTATATTCAAAAATGGAACATGGGTGAGAAGAAATATGAAATTGTTAGTCCTGACAAGTTGTTATGCCCCACCTACGATAGTAGAGGGGCATTATGTATTCTGGTCTGTGAGTCCGTTCGTCCGTCCGTTCGTTTGTCCGTTCGTTCGTTCGTTCGTCCGTTCGTTTGTTCGTCCGTCTGTCCCACTTCAGGTTAAAGTTATTGGTCAAGATAGTTTTTGATGAAGATGAAGTCCAATCAACTTGAAACTTAGTATACATGTTCCCTATGATATTATCTTTTTAATTTAAATGCCAAATTAGATTTTTGACCTCAATTTCACGGTCCACTGAACATAGAAAATGATAGTGCGAATGGGGGCATCCGTGTACTATGGACACATTCTTGTTAGTCATACTTTATCTACAGAACAAGATTAAAAAATCAGTATCAAATATGTATGCAAATAAATTATTCGATTATTACCAATCTGATTACCAAATAAATTGGCCGGGTTTCGTGTTCGTTACAGACATATGTTTCTTTTTATACTTGAGGTGTTTATTTGACTTCCTTGTTCTATACAAATTTACAACAAAAGTAGTGTTTAAAAACATACACACAAAAAAGTACCGAGAAAAAAAATATCAGAATAAAATTACAAAGGGAAAAACAAAATGTGATTTGAAAGTAATGAATCAATGATATACGGACAGACGGTTGAAGTATATGCCATTTTTACGTCTCCACTTTTATTACTCCTTCTTTCTTTTGTTTCTTTTTTCATCAACTTTGCGTACTGTCCTTTTATAATACACCCCAGCAACTTACTATCATTTCAAATATGTTATATTGCAAACAATACAATATAACAACAATATTTTTCAGATGATGTTATAATTGGAAAGGAAAGGCTAATTGGTTATAAATTTATAAATCGAGGAACTGTGACAGAGACTTATCAAGTGTCAATATCAGACGACCATTCATTTGTCCAAGGAACCACAACTGTAGAGAATACCCTTCTTCCTGGAGATGGTGCTAATGGAACCTTTGCTGTTAAGCCTACCACACCCTCTGCCATATTGTATGTATCACTTGTTTAATAAAAAACGTTGTTTAAAAATCCGTTCATATCAATATAAATTCAAAAATATTAACAACATGTGTTTGAGTCCGTTATGACGATCCGGTGATATTAACGATACAATAGAAAAAAAATCCTATGAAAAATACAAATCTTTATGGCAGGTTAAATAAAGTAAAGATCTCGAAACACTGTCGTTGGTTTGAATTCTTTAGTTTACATATGAACATTTCTCTTTCGTTTAAATTGTTTAACATTTGTTATTTCGGCGTTTTTTATAGCTGACTATGCCGTATAAATTTGCGCATTGTTGAAGACCTTATGATGCCTATAGTTCATAACTGTTATGTCGCTTAGTCTCTTCGTTGTCAATAATATCACATTTCCTCTTTTATTTCAGCTCATATAATATATCTGTTTCAATTGTATCAACTGGAGATGTTGAACAGAGTATAACCAGGAAACTTGTGGTATGTTCAATATGTTTATAGATAATATTGTTGATATTTTTTGTTCAGTAGCTTTGTGTAAAGTAAAGCATATAAAAGAGAGACGAACTATACGAAAAAGACAATGCTGTTTGGCTTTGCCAGTTATTCATGTTTCTAGGATTTTTTTAGTCAGGTGTACAGTTCAATTTATTTGATATTTCCTTTGCTTAAATTTATCATACGTGTACATATGTAGTTCCAATGTCTGATATGACACATACTGAAGAACAATATGCATCTTATAATCGACAGGTTTTGGTCCAATATGATAGATATATACTGGTCTATCCTTATTTTGTGTCCCAATTCTAAAACTTTAAAAGAAATATAATAATGTGACCTATTCTCAAGACTGACATTTGCCTAAAGTATTAGCCCATGAATGTACTTTACATCAAATGAGTTAAACACACACAGAAAATCAAAAAACCTTTGACTCCTATTGGTCTAGGTACGAACATTGTAGGAACCTGACATCGACAAAAAATAAGATCATGGCAACAGGATAAACAAACATTGCATACTGCATGAGAACTCTATCAGCAAATATAAATAATAAGACGTGGTATAAGTGCCAAAGAGACCTCTCTCCATACAAGTCACAGTGTATAACAAGTTCACAATTGTAGGTCAAAGTACGGCCTTCAACAGAAAGCATGTTTGTTTATTACTTTTTATATATTTCTTTAAATATTCCTTTGTATTAGGTAACAGATATCGAGAGACCTGATTGTTCTGTTGTACATACGGATGGAATGTGTGGTATAGCATCTCTTAATACAGCTAACTGTTCTTTGTACAACTGGACCGCTTCTGCTGAAGTGACATTTTCAGGGACACTGTTAGAGGGTATATCATCAACTGTTGGAATGTCAGTTAAACTGAGTCATGTTAATATAACGGGGTTATCTACTGGTCCAATAGCTGTTAACATCAAGTAAGTGCATGATTCGTATGAGAAAAGGGTTTTATAAACATGCGTGACAATCGTATGAGAAAAGGGGTTTATTAAGATATGTATTTTCTTGATGTGCAACTATTTTTTTCCTATCTGGTTATTCAAAGATTTAAACAAACTCGATACTTTTAAATTCAGCGTTAAAAATTTCTGATTGAAATATCTTAAACATGTTTAAAAATGTTCAAAATAAAAAAAAAGCCAATGAACACACACACACACTCAGTGACATCGTTTTCCAATGTCACTATTTCATGTATATTCACCCCTAATGTTGACCGACTTTATCAACATTAATAACAGCAATGTGTCTTAGATTTTTATTTTGATCTTGACGTTTCCCTTCCACAATATATTGGTTTGATAGAAAGGTGACCTTCACTGCATGTCAGTATGGTGAATAGGCATATATATTGAATATACATGATGATATTGAAATTGAAACACCTTCCACAATACGTAGTAAATGAAGGTCGACTACTACCTGTCGACATTGAGGTTGTAAATTAGGATTGCTAAATGAGCCCCGAAGGTTTTTTGTTCTCTCTTCTACTCCTACTTTCACCACCAATACAATTTGGCATGCAACTGCCAGGAAGACTTACATTGTCATTTAACACCAGCAGCCAATCTTTTTGTATTCTCCTTTTTTTAATCTCGTCTTTTGAATTTGAAAAAAAACAACCACAAATGTTAAGAACAAAATGTATCATATCAATTTCTGTCGTCACGACATGTTTCTAAAATGATCTTTCATCAGGTATGCTGAGTTTAATATTCGGAAAGCTAATTAAATAAAACACTTCAAAGCATAAAAACAAAATGAACAATAACAATGATGCCTAAAATCAGATCTTATATTCTTATATGTTTTCAGTGGTGACTGTTGCACACCATCGTTATACATAAATGTGATCGATGTTGATGGTTTTATATCACAGTGTGGTCTATCTTTTGGTGATGGACAGTCAGTTCAGTCAGTAGAAGTTGTGTCAGAACCTTCTGGGTCATCGGTAAGTTATTGATTTATGGCCTGCTTGGTATTCCCAAGAACATAAAAAATTTATTATTTGATAAAAATCAGCAGTGTCATGAATGCTTACTTAATTATAAACTTGATACCTTTGTTGGGTTTTGCAAACATTTGTCATACTTAACTATCTACTGGTTATGTTTGACCACTTTTATTGACAAATCGTAATTCCTACATTGTAGATTATTATTTCCTTGTTGAACGCCACACATTTCAGTCGTTAGATTCTATTGTGCTTTCGTCCATAACAACATGAACATGAACAATAACCGAAATCGAAGACACAATCTCGTCCTACTTTTATCCCGTGCAGATATGAGGGAAACTTGGAATGTTAATAGGACATGAGGGACGTTTGAATAGTAGGGCACACAATTTTCATTGAAACAGGCTACCTTAATGTCACACTAGGGAGCGTGTTACTATATCTATTCAGAATTCAGAATTTCCTAAACATGAATGCGTACATTTATACATCCTTCATAGCCGAACTGACCCACCTAGGCTTTTACTGTCTGCTTTTAGAACTGAAAACGTCCTTAATTGTATACCTCAGAGGTGGCCATGAATATGACAAATTATCAATTGTAGTTGCAATTACAAAAACAACTGCCATATTGAAGCAAGAAGGAACTACCCGATGTTTTTGTATTTTCAATCTTTATATTCAATGTAGGGTTATGTGTCTGTTCATCTTCTATTTTGAAGACATAATGTTGTCTGTAATTTTTCGACTGATTGTTTTTATTGTCCCGTCGTATCGTATACATCTGAGTTAAAGCTGCTGGATCCAAACTAATTAAAATAACAAATTATGTATGTGTGGGTTGGTTGCTCTCCCAATTTTGTCAATACAGAGGAACTACATGTATAAACAACTGTCGTGCAAGTGGGAAGTATAACTAGGTATTAAACCAGGTACAAATGTATATCGCATCATTTACTTCGGATATTGCCTTTACCAAGTTAGAAATATGGCATTTGATTTTTCTTGTTCCGTTGATTGATAACGTATGATTTTGTCAGTTTCTATGGACTTCCCCTTTATGAATTTGCCTTACGAAATTCGAAATGTTAATAGAACATGAGGGACGTTTGAATAGTAGGGACACACAATTTTCATTGAAACCGGCCACCTTTATGTCACACAGGGGAGCATGTTACTATATCTAAGCGTGAATTCAGAATTACGAAAACATGAATGTGTACATGTATACGCCCTGTATAGCCGAACAGACCCACCTAGGCTTTTACTGTCTGCTTTGAGAACTCCAAACGTCCTTAATTGTATACCTTAGAGGGGGCCATGAATATGACAAATTCTCAATTCTCAGATATGATATTTTTTGTTTTAAAGGATTTTCTTATCTTCGCAAAAGTTTCTTTTGTTTCCTTCTTTCAGAACCGCCAGGGTTCATACTGACCTAAACTAGTTGCCGGTTAAAAAAGCGCTTACATAGAGGTATCTTTTTGGCTATCTCGAGTGTATATATTCCGGTCAAACCAATGACCTTGAATTCTTTGCACCGTAAGAAAGTATAATAAAAATATCGAAAAGTGGATATTTATAAAAACAAAATCAAAGAGAGTGTTTAACAATTCTTTGATCGTAGTTGCCTTTTAAAAACAAAATATTCTGCTCGTATAAAAACTATTTTAGCCCTACATTAAGGTTGATCCATCTTGGAGAATACGCCTCCATTATCCATTGTATATTTGTTCTTGACTGTCCTTTTATGTATGATAATACTAGCAACTGAATGTAAACAAAATAAAATTCAATCTTTTTTATTTATTATGCATGTACTCAAAACACGCACCATTAAAACAAAACCATTTTGTTTGGCATGTTGTGTTTATGATTATAATAAAATTCACATTTTGAAATTTTGTTTCAAGCATTCATGTTTTCGAATCATGTACAGACGTACTTCACAATTATCTAGGAATTACTTTTTTTTTTTATCTTTCAGGGAAATGATATCTACACAATCATCATTATAATGACAGTTTGTGTAACAGTTGTTATATTTGTAGTTATCAGCTCATTTGTTTTGCGCATGCATCAGATTAAGTCGAAAGATGCATTATACAGCTCTAAAGCCGTCCCAGATACTATAAGGAAAGACAAATTTAACGCTGAAATGATTTATAAAAAAACAAGGATTATCTATCATTGAACAATAGAATCAATGTTTGTCGCATACAAGCTGACATAAACTGTAACAAGAATTAATGATGATGTTTAATGCCAATTTCGATCTTAATTTTATAATTTTATAATGTTTTAATAAATGCATAACAAAAGTCATCTACAAGTTTTACATTACAGTCGTATGCCGAAGATTTTCAACTATTTTTAATGTTAATTTACTTATGTGTTGTAATGAAGGTCATTATTTCTTATGCAGCAAAATTACTGCTCTCTGATTGGTTAATTATCCGCGTTTGAATAACACCCCACTCTTGTTCACCCGGGGACGAATTAAATTTTTTTTACAAAATTCAGAAAAAAAATTGACAAAAATAAAATAATGAAAAATACAAAAATAAATAAATTTGAGGACAAAAAATTTAGAAATTAAAAAATTTCAAAATTTCCGGAAAATAAAGAAAAATAAAAGTATTTGAAAATGCGCAGCATCATCGTTGTGGAAACAAATGGTGCACTGGACATTCTTCATTAGAATTTTTCCATTTCACATCCTGGTTTAAAAATGGGTAAAGGAATGCTTCGTAAGAAATAAATTCGTTACTTGATGTAATCCTGGCTGTACGGACATAATAATAAATTAATTATAAAATAAGCTTTGAATTTTTGAAATAATAAGGCTTTCCTATCTCAAGAAAAGATTACCTTAGCTGTATTTGGCAAAGCTGTTAGGAATGTTTGGCCCTCAATGATCTTTAACTTCGTACTTTATTTGGCCTTTTTTTTTTATATAAATCATTCGAGCTTCACTGATGAGTCTTTTGTAGACGAAACGGGCGTCTGGCGCAAATAAAAAATTTCAATCCTATTATCTATGATGAGTTGATTGACAACGGTGTTGAAAATGCATGCACCCTTCGGCTGCTCCTCATGGTTTATGAATTTTCTAATCCGGTGTAAAATTCGGTACACCCCTGATTACACCTTGATAACTAATATTATTCTTCTCTGGTGTATTTTTTTTCCAGTTATGCACTTTGTAATAACTTATCAGATATAGTATTTGCATATATATTTCATATGTCATTGTGCTGATGAGCATTATTTCCTTAAATTATTGAATTTGTTGTATTGAAAGAAATTTATCTTTTGACAAAATTTTAATATGTTACTCAACTGACTAGCGTAACCTGTATATCTAAAGATAACCATAACTGTGATATAGTTCTGTGCCAAATTAAATTTATATATAAATATTCTTTTTTGTAATATAATTTACAAAGAAAATAAGTTTTTTAAAAGCATTACTAAGTCTTCTTGTAATTAATTTTAGTGATAGTTGAAGGTTTGTTAGTTAATTCATTGTATTTTGTTTGTTGATGCCTTGTATTTTGTTGGCTGATGCCTTGTATTTTGTTGGTTGATGCCTTGTATTTTGTTGGTTGATTCCTTGTATTTTGTTAGTTGATTAATTGTATTTTGTTGGTTGATGCCTTGTATTTTGTTGGTTGATGCCTTGTATTTTTTTAGTTGATTCATTGTATTTTGTTGATTAATTCCTAATTCCTTGAATTTTGTTGGTTGATTCCTTGCTGTGTGTTGCTGAAAGTCCAATAACAAATAGTTATGCATTATTTGCACTAAAACAAATTAAATCCAATTGAAATGTTCTGCAGTGTTTCGACCAAGGAAACATACGGGAAATTTAGACAGACGTTGCATAACGAAGATGATTTCATTTAGCCTCGCTACTATACGTTAACGAACAATTGCAACTTCTATTTGATGGTCCCGTATATGGCCTATTTAGGGCAAAATGTCTGTCTCTATTCAACATATCATTGTCTTCCAATGGCAGATAATGTTCCTCACACTTCCCGGTCGTCCCACCTGCACAAGCTAACAATTGAATATACAGGAGCGGTATTTTGAATTATTAAAGAACACTGATTTACGTCAAAGACCCCTCAAATAGTCGTTGCAAGTGTTATCCGCACACACCGGAAAATATAATGCTACTTTCTATCGCAGAAATGATTTTGAACATATGCGTCAGTACTTCAACAAGGACTATAGCTCATAACTTATAACTTTAAGGAAGATACACGAAGGAAACAAGCATATTTTGACACAATCAACTTCATTTGTTAAAGGATATATCCTGTCTATTATAAACGTTATATTCAGTATTCTGATTTCATGATCCTTTGTATTTTTGAAGAGTAAGGAGTTGTTTTCATTGTTTTGACAAACTATAAAAGATCAGTGCTCTCTGAATAATTTAGTAGTTCTAGAAGGTCAATTCCGAAATTAAAAATCAGTATCAGCAATATAAATTAGGCGGAATATACGAAAACAACCAAATTCCAATGAATGTTAATGCTATCCAGATTAAAAATATTGACGACAGTATAATATGACTTTACATCAAATTATCTCATCCAGAGCATTGGAAGTCGATAGGGTTGAATGCGTCGGTTCTGCCTTTTTTTCGAATTATAGTTTTTGATTACACCTTTGGTGTCATCTTCCTCATCTTGTTCTATTACCCCTTTTGGTAACGCTGATAATTTAAAAGCTTTTAAATATTTATGGGTCTGGTAAGGGGATAGGGTCCTTTAATTCTTAATTTTTTATTTACTCAAGATAGTTTTCTTTATATCTTTTTATTGAAACAGGCCAGAAAACGACAGAAAAAAATATATTTAAATTTTTCAGAGTTTAAAAGACTGTTAACGGCAGTATCGCACCACAAGAAAGATCTTATAATGCACGCGTTAGTTCTTACTGATGCTTTCCAGTCTTTGTCGTTTGACTAAAAGCATGAA